AGGAACATTTTCAATACTGACAATAATATATACATTTGTAGGTTATTTTATTGTAAGGTAATAAGGCATGGTCCTTCTTACCTTGCTTCTTGTAAGGCTAATCGTCTACTTAATCCTAACTTAAATAGAACGATGTAGATGTTTTACTATCTAATATAAATAACTTAATATAAACATAGCATATCTATATTTATATTATTACAAACATTTACACATTGGAAATATTATGCCTACATATGAAAATAATGAATTTTCGTTTACCATTTAATAGGTCAATCCCAGCTTACCGGGCGTCTATGGAATTACCGCCTCTACATAGAATATTAATAGAGGCGAATATTCTCTATTTAATTCGTAAGTTCAGTACTACTATATTACCAAGACGTAAGCGTTAGGACAAAACCCAACAATGTCAAGATAAACAAAAGAATAATGAAGCCACAACCTGTCTTCTGTTTGCTAGTTATTATGATAGATTATGGCGATAGAGTGTTATTGTACTTGATATGTACAGACGTGTATGGAAATAGTTGATACACGGGACTTTCTTATGTATAACGTTTCATTTGAAAGCATAGACTGAATTGGAGGATAGTGAAAAATATATTGATACCAAATACTTGACGTTCATATTAAAACCTGCTCACTACTTATCTCATTACGTCCGTTCCGTTCGCCGGCTGCTCGTATAATGTCCGAAGACCATTTTGTTCGAGGCACTGTTTATAGGCCGCCATCTTGTACCCCACTACTCTCGAAAAACCAGAAGCAATAACAATTTTAAGCCATGTCCTACATTAATAAATAATTTGACAGATATTAATAATTACTATTTTTAGACTATAACTTTATATATGTACTAGTTTCAAAGCAACCTGCTTGGTGGCTAAAATAGGGAGAGGAATATATCTCGGTAAAAAAGTATTAAGTTAGGTACATGTCTTCTGAAATCTAAAATGAAATTTCAAGAAGTCGTTCCAGTGCAGTGAAATTCAAAGCGATGTAACTGCGAATGCAAGATATATTTCAGGTGTTTGAACATCTCAACACATCGACTGTGTAATATAGAATTGAAGGAATTTCTTCTAGGAAATTCGTCCTCTATTTTCATCAAATAAAGGATTGTGTTACTTGGGTCTAGACTTGGCAGGTAAAATGTACGAAGGTACAGATTAGATAGCTCAATTTTGTCATATTGATATATTTGCTATACCGTATTTTTTAGATGACTACGTGAACAAAAAACTTTGGCCACCCCTTTTCAACAGAGGAATATGAAATATGTGACAGTCCATGTTTATACAGAGATGTGTAGAATAAAGTGTAGAATATTTTAAAAATAATATTTAAAGTTATACTAAATTAATATAAAATACCACTTAACTTGTTCCAAGTTGCATGTTACATAATTACTTTGTACTTAACATTGTGTATGTATTGTGTATGTATATATAACTAACTACTCGCTCCGGCTTCGCACGGGTGTACATGTACTATATACATAAACCTTCCTCTTGAATCACTCTATCTATTAAAAAAACCGTTTCAAAATCCGTTACGTAGTTTTAAAGATTTAAAGCATACATAGGGATGGACAGACAGCGACAGCGACTTTATTTTATACTATGTAATGATGATAATGATACGTTTAATTTATTATACATATTTAGTATTCTGGGCTCCAGCTCTGGGATCGACGACTTTAGTCTGAGGAAGAAGAAGAATTAATTGGAGGGGATATACAATAACTAATTTGCAATTTTCTTATATGTAACTGGAATGGCAAATAAGCTGTGTGCAATCTACTTGATGGTAAGTGGTAAACTCTTGGCCCAAAACAAGTCTTACAAAACAGCTAACTTGGCAGTCAGTTATGACTAGCCCTAACTAACTACTTTATTCATACACACATTTTTAAAAGGTTCATCACATGACTTTGTGGAATCAATGTGTTTGCGTTACCATTTGTGTAACACAATACACGGTGATGTGAAAATTAACCTGTGTTAATTGTAACTAACGTGACCATTTATTCTTCGACTCAAAACGGAACATCGGTTTATTTAGGTCAATTAACAGAAAATCAATGAAAAATACTCTTCTTTAAAATTATCTAATCAGAAAATGTTTATTATATATTATAGTTCAGTCATATTTATATTTATCTTATAAAATAATTTATATATTTATTGGATTTGCTTATTTAAGAAGATTTTAAATAAGAATGACACTCTTGGTACGTTTTTTTATACACACTAGACGCTCATAAGTGAATGAAAGTTCCTATGTATATTATTTATATATGTAGATAGCTAATATTCAAGGGCCTAAAAATACATTGATATATTAAAAATAATATTATAAGCACTACTATATTACACACATATAAACACAATGTGCATTTAGTCTTTGACAGTACCTTATTGTAAATTACAACGTTATGTAATTTACAATTTCAATTTATTATGATCTAAGTAGGTACTGAATATGTTACGTAATTATTCGGCATGAATTATCTGATACCAGGGTTCCATGAGTTCTTGCGATAACATTTTCAAAGTTTTCTTAAGACTCAGGAATTGAGATGACTTTCAATATTTCTCCGTCCAAACGACAAATATTCCATCACAGCGTTTATTAATATTTTTATCGTGGATTAGATGTACTTACTAAGACTCCATAAATTCACAAGAAGTCGATTACAAAAATATAGGAAGCAACGAAACATTGAAGAATGTTTGGTATTATATTCCAATTACTAGGACTACATAAGCTAATGAAGGTCGCCAAACTATAAATGGTGATGTATGTCTGGCAATAACCATATTTATCTTATTAACCTCTTTTACCCTTCATTATCGGACTCAAAATGATTTGGAGTAAAGTCGATTCGTATAATTGTAAATTAAAATTTTGCACATTTATATATATGCTTACAACTTCAAATAACTACCTCTGCTTTTTTAAATAAAATATAGCCCGTGTCCTTCTTCATGCTACACTATGTATTCACGTCAGCCATTTAGTCATAAATATATAACAAACAGACAGATGTACTTTCACATTTACAATATTAGTACATGCCAGGGCACCATTCAAAGGGCACGCTCAGTAGAAATATTCTACAAGCGTAAACCGTTATAATAAACTGTAGTAATAAACAATAAAAAATTCAATACCGACTATCGTGGGGAATCACATAAAATGGCGACTAAATTGAAAAACATTTCACCACAAAGAAGTGGCCGATTTCAAATGACAAATAGCCGATATCCGTATCGAATAACAATAGAATATAAAATCATGAATTGCTATTTTAAACCTTGTGATTTGCAATAAGAGATCATTTTTCTTTGATGTCCTATATATCATAAAACAGTCATTCCATTGTTTTGATTCGAAATTCAAAATTTATTATTATTAAACCTACTTTTAGCTATTGGCATAAAACAGTAATTTATATATATAACTAGCTGTCCTGCCAAACGTTGTTTTGCCATATAAATTAATAACGCTATAAAAAAATAGGGGTTGATGATAGAAGGGTGAAAATTTAGGATTGTATGTATTTTTTTATGTTGTATCATAAAAAAATAGAAACTAAAAATTTTGTCTAAAAAATTTTAAAAAAATTAGGGGTGACCACCCCTAATTTTTTAACCCCTAACATTTAGGGGGATGAAAAATAGATGTTGGCCGATTCTCAGACCTACTCCTACCTAAATTTCATGAGAATCGGGCAAGCCTTGGTGATCTAACGAAAATCGTCCCCGTTTCAGGTGGATTTTATCGGAACACCCATACAACATGTATTGGAACGAAAACTGTTACACGAGAATTTTATATATATAAGATAAAAATAAGAAGAAATGCGTACTAGGAACGTTTATTAGTGCCTAATAGAACCAAAACAATAATTTCTATTTTTGTCTATGCGTTTGTGTGCGTTAATTTTAGAAATAGCTTACCCTGTTTAGGTGCGGTTTCATTAAAGTATTGAAATTACTTATCTTAGTCCTATGGAAAGGCCATACATGAGTGGTATAACATTATGACGTGATATCCGAAATGCTGTTCATGTTATTTAGGCGATGGTTATCGATTCCATCACTAAGTTGTTGCACTATGCCTGTTTAATAATAATTTCAGATTTGAAATCACGATCTTTTGGTTATTGTCAGGGGAACGACTAGGCCACGACGCCTTTCTATTATTTTCGAAATTTTAAATCCTTAATTCCGATAGTAAGCCAAGTGAATCCTCTAGGGTCCACTGGGGTCTACGTTGGCGTTACAAGATAGTGGGGGTTCACAATTGTAATCAGGGTTCCAAGAAAATTTATCTGTTTCGACAGTCAGGAACTAAAATGTTGCCTTGACTTCACCAATGTAGGCAGATAATATTTAAAAAGCTCTGCGACTGTTACTTTAAAAAACATACATATTAATAGTTTTTTAAATTAATTAATTAACTAACCAATTCACACTTGTTGTTCTCAGTTGCAACTCAACGGTATATATATAAGATAAAAATAAGAAGAAATGCGCAAATTTTATAACCTAATCTTCATATTTTTTGACGAACTTTGGGAATATGATAGAAATGTAATCGCATTATATGTTGTAGTTGTACAATTATTTTATTTATTCGTACCTACATGTACTACTATATTATTTTACATATATGACATCAGTCAATACAATATTTGTGAAAATCGCATTATATAAAGCCCACCAGAATAAGCATAATTTTGTAAAAGTTCTATGAGAAATAAAATTTGCCCACTTTTTTTCGGAAAATATTAACTCCCGATCCAACCACTCTGCCGCAATGCATATTATTATAATGTAACTTTTTATATTTTTTGACGAGTTCTGGGAATATGGTAGAAATATAACCGTATTATATGAGGTTCACCGGAAGAAACAAAATGTTGGAAATGGTCTATAACAAATAAAGTCTGGGAAAATTTGGTTTAAATTATGAACTATTTGTTTCAGACCTGTGTCATGCGGCGACGAAGATCCAAGCGTCCTTCAGGGGCCACCAGGCACGCAAGCAGACGCAGGCAGAGAAGGACAAAGAACAGCAGGATAAGGTGATAACTGATAACATCATCATCATCATCTGGTTCTTCCTTATCCCATTCATTTGGGGTCAGCGTAATATGTTTTTCTCTTCCATTCATCTCTGTTCGCAGTCATTCCGTTATTTACTCCCTTTCTCACCATATCATCTTTCACACAGTCCATTCATCTCTTTTTCGGTCTTCCTCTACCCTTATAACCATCCACATTCATATGTAACACCGTCCTTAGGATATGATCTTCATTCCTACTCATTACATGCCCATACCACGATAGACGATTACTCATTAACCTCTCTGACATAACTGATAACATTTACCATTGTTTAATCTTACTATCTTACTAATCTTTTTTTATTGATGATAATGGAATGGCACACCCGCCTGTGCTAACGGTAGGTCAGGTCAGTTAGCCCATCATGACGAATTTACCAGGAATTTGTTATGGTGGTTTCCAAGGCTTGGAGTTCAACCTGACATGGTACATGGTTATTACACTGGGTATTTTCTATGTATTTCTATCAGTTGTCTGTCTTATTGTCTATTCTACTGTGTGAATTGTCCAGGGTTATTAATATTTTACCAGGTACAAGTTATTTTGAAACTAAATATGGTGCTAAATAAGTTGTAATATGCATTCAATTCAATTCAATTCAATTTATTTACTTTTTTAGTTTGATATGCATGAAAATTATTAGATATATTGCATGTCACAAATGTATATTAAAATATCAATGTACTCTTGAAACATAAGATATCAGGTACTTTCGCCGATAGCGTGTAGCTTGCTACTCTGCAATATCACACGTCTACATTGCATTTCAAAAAGTGATTCCATTTTGAATGCATGACACTTGAACACGTAATGCGATAACGTATTGCCGACGAAAATAAAATAGACTGTACAACGTATATAATAGACACAGAAATAATATTGTAAATGTTAATGTATGTCTGTGTGTCTACATATCACAATTTTACAACCTAACTACTAAATAATTCTTAATTAAATTTGGCATCAACATAGATTGTATCACAATGGTTTTGGTTATCTTTATCTATAAAAGAACAACAAGCGAAGTCGCTGCAAACAGCTAGTTGTATATTAAAAGACAGTAAACTTGTATCAAAAACTGAAGTTGCTATTTCTTACAGGAATGGTGACAGTATGTGAAATGGTAGGTAGGAACTGTCGCATATACATACAAGCAGAGTACTATACACCTCACGTTATGGCCTCATGTGACACTCATGGTACACTTATGGCTTCATATTCCTTAATTTCACTGCCTTATCCTCCGATCTCACATCTTACAAAGTAAACTGCTTGGTTGTTGAAATAGGATAGACTGATGCTGGTGCCCAGGTAGACGATTTTATACAGTCTTAAATTTCTAAGTCTCATTTAGTACATTTTGTATTTCAGGAAGATATAGAGAAGATTGACTTGACCGATCCAGACCTGAATAAGGCTGCGACCAAGATACAAGCCTCGTTCCGCGGCCACAAAGTACGCAAGGACGTCCCCAACTAAGGTGACCATCCGTTCGTGGCACGAGAGAGTCTCTAACTTCGTGGGTACGAAACTAGAAATGTGTTCGATGACATCTAGGTTATAATTATAAACGTAAGGCAAGGTGTAACTTTTAGAGAAACTAAACATGTTCTCATTGTTTTCAAAACAAACTAATTTGAGATACGTACTAGTTGACTAGTTGAGTTTTGGGAATCGTGCGTACGAAGTTAGATGACCTGGCATCGTTTAATAGTTATGTAAAAGTGAGTAATCGTGAATGGGATGTCAATTCTATACTAAACTATGTACTACGTCAATTGTCCTATATTTATGTTGATCATCTGTATGTAGCATTGGATTGACGTGTCACATGAATACCAAAGAGTAGAGAATATTGGAAATGAATTACTATTCATAATATATATTATATCTGTCCCGTTTTTCTATTAACATTTTGGCCACCATACTTCGTGTTAACCTAAGTAAAATTACTTAAAGTTTTTTCATTTTTTTAACATTCCATTATAACGATCTTCTACTTTCAATGTTTGTTGAATATGTAAGATTTTATTTAAGAATAAAGTAGTTTTAAGGTCCTTAGATTTTAATTGCCAATAAAAATATCTGCTTCATTTAATGCATATTAATTACATATAAATGCAAATTCATATAAATACCTGTAATGATATATGTATATCTATATATTGAAATGTGAATTGAAATTGTACCGTTCCACAGGAATATAAATATTTATTTGTTAACTTTTTTATTTACAATTTTGTTTTATTAATTTAATTGTTACCACCACGCAAGTTCGCTGAATTTTCCTGTAAATTTCTGGTAATTTTAGGATTTATATTAAATTAAACATTTAATATTCGCCTATATCCAATGGTTTTTTTTATTTTTTAAAGCATTTTCAGAAATAATCAACGCAGCCACGTTGTATTGAATAAACATTCAGGTTTTATTAAACCTTTTTTTATTATTGGAAAGACAAACAAGCTAACAGCCAATGTGATGGTAAACGGTAACCGTTGCCTACATAAATGAACAGCACCACAGACAACACAATCACTCACTGGCTCACCTGATGGTAAGTGAATCAACAGCAGGGGCCGCTGCGTTACTGGCCTTTTAAAAAGGAATAAGCTCTTTTCTTGAAGGTTTCAATATCATATCGGAAATATCATTGCTGGAAGGTGATTCCACAATATAATTATGCGTGGCAAATAGTTTTTAAAAAACCGCACTGTGGTGTACTGCCATTCACCCAGATAATCAAGATGGTAATTTAGTAATGTATTTAATCATATATATTATTCCAGATGTTTAATGTGTCATCCTTCTTATTCTGTAATGTTCTCTTATGTAATAAATGTACCTAACTGCAAATAAAAAAAGTGGACTAAGCTGCCATATATCTTATCCTGTAGTATTCCCTAATCCTGTAATAAACAAAGCAATAGACGTAGAAAGGAATAACCTTCAAATACAAATAATTCTAACAGAATGCACCTCACAGAATACTGTTGTTCATGACTCGCCTCCTGCATTTCCACTTGTAAGGCATCGTGTTGACTACACAGACATAAATAATACTAAAAGTGACTGCTTCAAATTTCATAGTTTCATTTCAGAGAGTTACTAGCTGTCCCGGCAAACGTTGTTTTGATATAAATAAAAAAAAATTTAGGGGTGGACTACCCCTAACATTTAGGGGGATGAAAAATAAATGTTGGCCGATTCTCAGAACTACTCAATACGCTCACAAAATTTCATGAGAATCGGTCAAGCCGTTTCGGAGGAGTATGGGAACGAAAACTGTGTCTGTGTCCATATCTTATATATAAAATTCTCGTGTCACAGACACGAGAATTTTATATATAAGATATGGAGGACATACAAAAATATGATAATATTTACACGCCGTTTTATTTTCAAATCAATATAATATCAAATAAGATAATTGCCCATCTGTTAGAATATGGTAAACGTCGTCTGTATACGTGAACAGCAAAAGGAACCCACCTTCATGAAGGAGGAGTACTACCCGTGGATGGGGTGGGTATCGGAGATTGCCGTCGTCAGTACCGTGACCCAGACTCAATTTCAATATATTCGGTACACGATGCTTGCGTGTGGACTGATGCTTGCTTGTGTGTATTTAGGTGTACTAAAGAGAAAATAGCATTTGTGGGCGTTATATTTATGCGGAGTGGTGTAAAACGCTGACGGCTGTACGGACTGGCTGTATGATCATACGACTGCTTGTCAAAAAAAAAAGTGTAACAGGTACTCAGACGCCTTCGTACAAAATCTCCATTCGCAAAATACCAGTTGTGATATTAAATTCAATAAATATCACAACGGGCATTTTTTAAATTCCTTATCTTTAGAATGAACTAGAAGTAAAATAGTTTAAGGCGATGATAAGAAATTATTAACGGATTCAATACAGTATTAAGTTTGTTCAATATTTTTAATAGACCGAGTATAAATATCACATTTACTTTTATACACAGATTCCTATTATTATTTATATCGATAGAAGTAACACGGATACGTTGACATCTGCATATTATTATTCTGTGGTCTCAATCCGTAACGATTGTTATCATTCATCTTTTGATAAGCTTTATTATTATAATTTTGATTTATAGAAGATATTTTGTAAAATTTCGGATCCACTACATTTACAGGTTTATCAGATACTTTAGGTTTGATATAAATATTTATATTTTTCCATTTCCGCCAAATTCTATTATTTGGAAGTACTGTCCTTTTATAATTTCCAGAAAAGGTACCGTCCTGTTTATATTTATAAAAATCATCGAAGTTTATTTCATTTGCAAAAGGATACTCATAAGGTTGCTTGATAAAGGTGGTGTCAGGCATAAGTGAATTAGATGTTTGCGTCTGGTATCCATTTCTGTCTAAATATTGTTGGCCGTAAGTATACTCAGGTATATAAGAATAATTCACATCTGGACAGTCAATTTGCGTTGGCGCAGTTGGCTCTTTTTCAATAATTTCTTCATAATTATGATTGTTAATTATTATTCTATCACTGGGATCTGAAAAAGTAGTAGATTATTATATTGTGTATAACTGTAATGGAACATATATGTACGTTGAAATAGCATTATAATATACTATTAAATGAAAGTTGCAATAAGAGAAGACATACCGCATTCAAATGACTTTACCACATCAGAGTCTATATTAACAACAAATTTAACATTATTTGCCTTATTTGTTTTTTCTGTACCACCTACTGCTGATGGTGTCTCAATAGCATGCTGTGGTATAGCAGTCGCATTACATTTTTCCTTTCTAATATTTTTGATGTCAGAATTAAGATCTTTACAGTTATTATTATCTTCAACAATTGTTTTAGTTTTGGTATTATTTACTTTACATCTACTGCTGCCTTTTCCTTTTTCTGTAATATTCTTTGAATTCATAGTTTGATTACCAGGATCTAAAAGATTTTGTATAACCATTGTTTCATTAGCCTTAACGTTTATAATTGTCTTATTTTCTTCATGTTTTAAGTTTTTTATATTAACTATACTATCTGGCAATTTATTGTCTGTTGTCGTTTTGACTTCTGCCGAATTTGTTTTTTCTGTTGGTATTTTGGAGACTTTAATATTTTTCATCAGGTATTGACAATTGCTTTCACAGGTGTCGTTGTGAGCATATCTTATTGTTTCATTATTATTTGTTACATTCAGACTTAGTGACGATAACTTAACATCATTTTCATCACTATCATCATCTTCAAAGTAATCCTGTTTTTTGTGTTTACAAGTATGGTCTACATGTTGTTCAACTTTGTCCTTTTTTTCTACATTTGTTTCCATTTTAGGCTGTAATAAATTTAAAGGCATTTTGACATTTGATCGGACTGAGTTCAATGGAATAAACGTGTGCTTTATTACATCCTTATCAAAGCGATTATTTATAGATTGCTGGGGGATTTGTGACTTCTGTTTTAAATTGTATATGTTCTGTGGTAATACATGTATAGGTATATTATGTGTTAGAAGGATTCTCGGTTTTTCTTTTACTCTTCCTATTTTGAGAACTGGCGATATATTTTTATTATTCACTACTTGTGACATTTCATGATTCCTTTTTTTACGTACCTGAAAGCGTTTTTAGTACATTTACTCGTTATTTTACTAGACTGTCTACTTTTCACACAAAAACATTAAACTTCTGCTTAAATAGTACAATTAAATAAATGTTATATAAAAATTAAAGAGTCACTATTTATTTAAGACGTTTATTGTTGTTAATAATAAACCTTGCTTGGAATAATTGAACGTTATACATTTTATGCAAAAATATTTCACTTTACTTAGAAAAAAGAAAAACTAAATCTCAAAAACAATGTCATTAGATATTTCCAATTTATTAAGAAAGAAATAAATTAGTTCTAATAGACATCTAATACGTAGGTTGGCGGGTAGTATGATGAGAAGGGCTGAAGATCGTGCCCAATGGTGTGCCTTGGAAGAGGCCTATGTCCAGAAGTGGACTCCAGTGGGCTGATGATGATGATGATGATCTAATACTACGTTCACATTTTGTACATATAATATTATTTTGTATATATAACTATTCGAAAATGTTTATCACTTTTGAATAATCTTGTTATTTTAGTTCTACCACTCCATCGAAAAGCAGACTCATCACAAGAAGAACGAGTAAGAGGACTTCCGTGCTGCACATTTAAATAAATGTTGTTTATAAAATAAATAAACAAGTAATACTTACACCATGATGTTCCAATGTTTGACACAATTGTAATAAAGTTAATATCAACGATAATTTTAGTAACTTCATATCATTAAATTACTAAAATTATAATAAACCATACATACGTGCCATGGGGATGGTAGGTGAGGAATGATTTCCATTTTTAATATTACCTTAATAACCAAATCTATAACATTCAAATTGATTTGTCATGCTACGATATTATTTAAACATACATATATTTGTGCGTAAGGACTGTTATTTAAATTATAAGTTATAAAACTAGTTGACGTCAGAATTTTACTAATAATTACAGTTGATTTTATATATTATGTTGTATACTTCATCATTGCATCGTAACTTATAGAAGCAAATTTATATATTTATTAAACACATTTTAACCAATAGAACCCATAGGTCTAATTATTCAATTCTTTAATACTAGACCTGCGATTTCATTTGCGTAAACTTTTTTCCTTATTAAAAATCTGTGAGGGGTTACACAGATTTTTTTTTTAGATAAAAAATGCCTATAACTTTTACACAGATATATATAGGATATCCCGAGTAATCCCGACAGAAGTTTTACAGGACTAATATTGTAAACATTGTGTAAATTGTTAATGTATATATTTGACGGCAGCGGTTTGATAGTCTAGTAGTTTAGCACACCGCTTTACTTCCGATGGTCGTGGGTTCGATTCCTCGAACGGTGCATATATTTGTAATCATGAGTATGATTATTTGTATCGGTATGTGTATTTTCTCAGTACATTATGTATGTATTTACAAAAAAAAACTAAGTATTTGTACAGTTGTCTAGTACCCGTAACACAAGCTCTGCTTACCGTGGGACTAGATGGCGCTGTTAATTGACCAGGGTTATTTATTTATCTATCTAAAACCACTAGACCACCGTCGCTGGTTAAAATACGCGAGACAGAGAGAGATGCAGACGACTTTGAACAAAATCTACTTTAAGGAAATATGCGTTATTACGGTACATAAACTCCCCAACAACATGCTGCCCACCTTTATGAAGGAGGACTATTGGCCGAAGCGTGTGGTGTATCGGCGTTACCGTGGCAAATTACCGTCGTGAATGCCGTGACCACACAGACAATTTCAATATCTTAGTTGTATAATATTAATATTCATTCAGATGTATGTTAGTCCATAATATAGTCTGTTACATATGAATGTGGATGGTTATAAGTGCAGAGGAAGGCCGAAAAATAGATAGACCGTGTGAAAGATGATATGGTAAGAATGGGAGTAAATAACGAGATGACGGTGAACAGGCATGAATTAAAGAGAACAACATATTACGCCGACACTAAATAAATGGGATAAGGAAGAAGCAGCCGATGACGATGTTTTAGTTGTTAGTCTAAAAGGTATTAATAATATGGGCCTAGTAGCCTGAAATAAATAAAAAAAAACTAATATAAATATGGTTGTCATTTATTTCCACCATAAAACATGAGAGGCAAACAGGAAAAATCTATAAATAAAGAATGCTACGAAGTTGGCCCAGGATTTACTGCGATGACCTATTTACATCAGAAATACAACGGCAGGTCGTCTTTTAATATTGTAAGTGTCGGTTCCTTCAGCGATTGTATTAGCACCAGTGATATTTTATCTGAATACGTAAATATGTATGTTTTGTTATTCAGTTTCAATTTTCCGGATTTATACCAGGAAATTTTATCGTGAATAGCGTAATGTAATTTTGTTGAATATAATCGTTTATTTTGTTATTACAGAAGTAAATATACGTTTTGTTATGTAATTGGATCGGTAAACATACTGACGGTCCATCAGATGTTTTGTATATATTTAATTTTTATATAATAATTTAGTCATGACGAACATATTTAGAAATGTAATGAAAATATAGAAAGTATTGTACGTTATATGCGTTAATATCATAAATGCGGAAGTGTGTGAGGATGGATGTTCATTACTCTTTCACGCAAAAACTATTAAATGGATTTTAATGAAATTTTAGAATAATATGCATACCTATACATCATAATAGCACATAGATTATAAATTTCACTCGGGTGAAAACGCGGGCACAGCTAGTAAGTATAAAGGAAAACAATATTGTTAAATATTTTCAATTTCAAATATAAACCAAACTCAATTAAGTAGTGTATTAATATTTTAATCACTGCGCGTACAAGTAACTCCAAATAATTGAAATCAAATGCTGCATGCCAGGAAAGAATTCAATTACAGCATAAATAATAAGTACGAAGAATGTGATGCCTCTGCTGATGCTTCTTACGAGATCTATTGTGTCTGTTATGGGTAAAGACTTCCTCAAAGAGCCTTGAATGTGGAGAACATTACTTGGTGGTATCACCTGAAAGAAATGGTCTAATTCAGTAAATATTAATTAACTATTCATCCTGAAAAGGCAGACAAGCTAATGGTCCACCTGATGGTAAGTGGTAACCGTCGCCACAACATTCTGCCATTCTAGGACTATGCTGTCCGGCTACCATGCTCTATATCTATATCCATATAGTTGTAATGGATACGGCAGTGGTATTACTGCCGTATCCATTACAACTTTCAAAACAAAACATAGCTTTAAAGGCATGCTGTTTGGTGGTTGAAATATGTGAGAGAAAATTACCCAAATTTCAGTAAAAATACAAACGATAAAATTAAATAATAACCATTCATAATTAACTAATATAATTGAGAACTTTTTTATCTAATCGGAGTGGCAAACAAACATAGGGCCCCCTGGTAAGCGGAAACGTTGCCTATATACTAAATCCTTATATACTGTGGGCTCGGGTCCCTACCAAGATGCTGCTCATCTTCATGAAGAAGGACTACTGGCCGAAGAGTGTAGTGTACGGGCGTTATCGTGGCAGAATGCCGTCATCAGTGCCGTGACTACATAGACGATTTATATAATTGTTACAAATGTTTGTCTATTTATAATATATTTATAATATAGCCCATTAGGAGCCTGAAATAAATAAACAAGCGTTACAGCGTTTCCGAAATGCTCTTACTATATAATATATTATAATAAATTATTCTTTTAATTTGAAATAACTAATGGGAGATAAATAATTTAAAATAAACTATGGAAGATATCCCCTACTACTGATTTACTCTTAATTAGTTACTTAGCCAGTTAATTATGGATTGAATATTTGACTCTAATGAAATAGTTTGTATTCACACATTAACTTTAAAATGACAGTAACTTTATTATTACAATTACTTAAAAGAGCTCGTTTTTTTTGTGACGAGACTTTTCGAATGAGCAGTAGATTAAATAAGTATGACTAAGTATTCAAAAGTGTTTAATTTTAAATTTATTTGAATAAAGAATTTTCTGTTCTATTCTATACCCTAAATTTCCTCCGATAAGTAAAAGAACCTCATTCGGTATATATTTACCGACCTGAAAAACTGTTCCTGATTCAATCATGGACGGAACAATTGGATTTGTTGGGCATGGCTGCAACATAATTTTGTTAGTGTTTGTTCTATCGATACGAGTGTATTATACTTATATATACATATATACGTAAACCATGTATATATGTATACGCGTGAAATAATGACCTTGGCTACAAAATATTTCATAATCCAACCCAAAAATGCTAAAGAAAAAGTTTCATCGTTCTAGCTACAAAAACTACGAATTTTCATACAAATTTTCATCCCTTATTTTATTTAAGGGTAAAATTTTTACAAATTTTGAATATTTTATAATTTACTTATATTTAATCAACAGCTAAAAAAATAATATTCAAGCATCTAAAAATGACGATACTTTCATACAATCTATCATCTCCTCTTTCAACCCTTTACAACCCTTTTTCGCTTCAAGAAGTAGCGTATGTCCTTTCTCAAGATCTAGACTATCTGTGTACCAAATTTTATTTAATTCGGTTCAGTAGTTTTGGCGTGTAAGCGAGACAGACAGACAGACAGAGTTACTTTCGCATTTATAATATTAGTAAAGAGTAAAGATATATATACTAAATACTGTTATATATATATAGTATTACAGTGGTATTACATATGTAATCTATGTACAAATAAGTACATATAACTGTATTTATGTATAAATCTAAAGAGGAACCTATTTGTTTAACTAAGTTTTAATATTCAAAACAAATAATTTAAAATATCTATTAGATATTAGAAAAATATTTTCCAGGGTATATCCATACTATTATTATCAATTTAAAAGTTATGTCAATAACTTTGTCTGTTTGTTACCTTTTTACGATATCAAATATCTGAGCGGACTTTATTGAATTTCAACAAAAAACAAAATATCATATAAAATTTATATAGATAAAATGCTAAACCAATTACATAATAATAATAATACCTCAGGACAATTCATAAAGCGCCATCTAGTCCCAAGCAAAGCAGAGCTTTTGTTATAGATCTAGTACCTATTTTCTAGTCCAATTGATATAAATACATAGAGATATAAAAATAAAAATATACGAAACTCCCAGACCAATATAAACAATCATACTCATGAAGACAAATGTTTGTATAGCGCGAGGAATCGAACCCGCGACCATCGGTAGCAAGACGGTGTACTCAACTGCTGGACCATTGAGTCTGTTAAAAATGGAATGTCTATATAGAATTTATGTCCTTACCTTCGTATTGTCATTTCTTTCTTGCTTCACTTCAGCATGTATAGGCTGCACGTCGTTTGTGACTATATCCAAAGCACCCACTACATCCCTCTTGTTTCTTGTTGCCTATTAAACAAAGCAAAATATTCTTTATTGTCTATGCCCACGCCTGGGCAAGTCAGTTTATATTATTATCTCTTTGAGCAACTTCATATTACATGATCCTTATAGTTTTTTTACTGTTGTTGTTGTTATTAGTAATGAGCCCTTTTCACCTTATTGCCAGCTATGTACGGTGATAGGTCGACCACTACACGGTCCTCGTTGGGAGAATTCACTACTACATATTTTATATGTATATACTGCCTGCCTGGGTTACCTGCTCATCCTATCATATCCCACTGGTACCTCACCAGTATATAGTTAGTTAGTGTATGCATGTGCCATTATCATAGATTAAAATAAAATATTGACACTAAAATAAAAATAGAATAATCTAGACTTACTCCCAATCTTAAATGGCAGTTTGCCGTACTAATTATGATTGCACAAAATATTATTTGATATTGCATTGCGAATCACATTTTCTATTCTTCCAATGTATATAGTTTTATTCCATGTTTTTTTATTGTAAATGTAAGAAATGGGTAATAAAAATATGTCATATTTTAATAGTAATAAAATACGTTTGTATTGAAATATTGATTTGGTATCGCTTTTGTGATTGAATTGAAATGTTGGCTGTTATTTTATTTATGTTCTTCGTTAATGCATATGGACATAGTAATGTAAGTATTCGTACAGTTGACACAGCGCCATCTAGTTACAAACTATGCAGAGCAAGCTCTATTGATACTAAACAACTGATACTTAAACATTTTTTTTGTAATTACGAATACATACATAATATATTAATATCATAAACGCGAAAGTTTGAGAGTATCGATGGACGTTTGCTACTCTTTCACGTAAAAACTGCTGAACGGATTTTTATGAAACTTTACAGTAATATAGCCTGTACATTAGAATAACATATAGCTTATAAATTTCATGAGGGTAAAACCGGGGGCACAGCTAGTAATATATATATACCTACATATATAACCGCTTGACCAACACAAACAATCATACGAATACAGATGTTTGTATCTTGCAAGGAATCGAACCGTCACTGATTAGAAATAAGGCGATGTACTAACTAAACAACTAGACTGAATTACTAATACGTTTTTGAAGGATAGAAAACTATTTTGAATACTAATCTTTACACCCATCTTCATCCGCATTAGCAATAGCCTATTAGGATAAAAAGTACTCAGTCTGAGGTCAACTTCGTTATAAATATTATAGTGGTGACCAATTTTCTAACGACTAGTAAAGTCGTTAAGATGATACTTTAGAGGTATAATAATTAAAATAAGAATAATAATAACTAAAAAGCAAGATAATAAATGGATTTCAATCAATATTCAACAAAATATACAGAAATTAAGTGTAATAACGAAACTATAAACATTTCGGATTTTACAAGTTAAAGAGAAAAGGCCACTAAACTATGTGGTTATAGCCCGTCCATGCATACACGAAATATCTCCTTTGGAAACTGCATAGTCTTTAAATTTTCATAATGAAATTATAATTATTATCGTATTGTAAATATCTATAATATTCTCAGAAATTGCTGCATGATGCTGACTTGCAGTCTGCACTTATTCCACAAGAACTTAATCCAACTTTTGTTCCGGATAAGGTCGATAGTGTAAGTAAAATTAATGTATAAATACCTGTTTAAATTACTTATTTTATTTCTTTTTACCCATGGAAATAGACAAGACAGATATAAGTAAAATAAACTGCCACCTAAATATACTTTGTGTTACGAGTTAAAAAAAATTACTCGAGTAATTGTTTTTAAAGGCGCATATAACGTTGAAATTATTAGTAGGAACATAAAAACTCAGTTCGCATGAAATACAATGTATCACTTAATAGTATTCACCGTCATAATAATAGTAACCATTCACATAGAGCCATCTATTATGGGTGACAACTGAGAAGATACCTAAATATTTTTATATTCCTAATATACATAGTAAGCACCCAAACCAATACAAATAATCATACTTATGAATACAAATGTTTGTCAATATTTTGGAATCGAACCCGCGATCATTGAAAGTAAGACAGTGTTCTAAACCGCTAGGCTACTGAGGCCATCAATAACATATACTGTGATGTATGTACCTCCCATGTACTTACATAGGCAACGGTACGGAAAAATGCGAAAGCACTTCACTTAAGCTGGGCCACATAAGTGTTTGCAATACAAATTTCATAAAAAATGCGTAGGAAATTCTTCAAATTCTGTCTACTTACCCTATTAAACAGCGGAGTAGCCCAAATATGTCCATTTATTTCCAGAATGTTCCGTGGAAAATTTCACTGCCAATGCGATACCGACGATCCAACGTACCCCAAGATCTCTCAAACAATGTCCAACTTGTGAAGAAATACAGCCGCACAGCAGCCTGTGTCGTATTGGTGTTATCTACGATTGTCGAGATTGTTCTTTACGTTGTTGAGTTTTATTATGTTTTATAATTAAAATTGATTAAAAACTTTCATTTATGCGCAAGTTAATAGACCATTTTATGGAATAGGAAAAGTATCACCTGGCTGTACTAAAATACACTTTACAAAAACAACAAATTAAGACATTTTCTGTGCGAAATTCTCTAAACGATTACTCAAATAACGAAAATACATGGCTTTAGTTGTTAATGCACTGGATTTTAGTGTTACATTAATAATATATATTCAAATAAGTAAATAATATTAACAGACTGTCTTTAAAAACAACAGCAGTAAAGTTACCTGTTAGTTTTTCTCAACTGAAACTTTCGCACGAATTAGAGGGTAGAAATAAAAAATAATACAAAAGTTCCAAACATGTCAAACATAATTAAGTTAATGACAAATATCGATAAAGAAAAACAAGAGAAATATATTTTTTATGTAATTGAAATATAAATCAATATGACTGGACACCTGATAGCAACCGTTGCATACATACGTTATATTAAGGACACAACATATACCTCCTACAATATATATTTCTCATTGAAGATAATGGTTTACAATTACAAGCCTTCGCTAATTATATACACAATATAGGCAACAGTGGGAGATTATAGGATGAAAATAAACTCAGATCAATAAACGAATTGAGGACAAACAGGAATTAACAACGATGTTTCCAGAAGAGATCGCGTCGAAGTAGTCCTGTTAGAATATTTCGTACTAGTAAGAGTGCCACTTGCCTCTCTCCTCACAATTTTCCCCCCCTTAGGTATATATATATATTTATTTTTTTATATACAATTCTCCACAGACATATTCGTCCGTGCCTTTTTTAATTTACTTTAATATTATTATATTTCTTTAATTTCCACTTTTGTACAACTCCCGTGGAGCCTCCAGCCGAGATGTTACAATTTGCCTAACAGTGGCACCGAGGCAGACCTTATCCGTCTGGCCCAGAACCACCGCTGGCCGGCCGGGTGAGTTGACAACATGCAGTGTCACCTATCTTTATTAGGAGCCAGTTACATTTACCAATATGCATATACAATTATATAAATCTTACACTACTACTAATTTCACAGTTTTCATTACATTGTGTTTTATTGTTACATTATGAATTCTTACATTGCATATACAATTATATGAAATCTTATTTTAACACTATTTTCAAAGTTCACTATTTGTTATATATTGAATATTGATATATAGGTAGTATTTCTGTAGGTTTGGGTTGAGTATTCATAAGTTCTTACCTAGGACTGCATAGGTTAATAGTGAGGGAGACTCCTGGTGAAATATGTGAAAGTTAATATAAGTACCTAAGTGTTAACAACAGTGGTTCATGACTTAATTAACTAGACACGTAACAAATCAATTTGTTACTATACATAAACTGAAAAATAATTAAATATATTAAGGACACGTAAGTGTTAAGTCACGGTATTCAACTGGCGAGTATAAAAAGTATACACCTGGTTGTATCAGTGGTCACAAACAGTGTCACTCGTGATCATGAAGTGGTTACTAATCGCTGGGTTTTTGGTTGCTTTGCTGTTCCACGTTGTGGTATTTATATTTCTTTATTTAAGTAGATTATAAAAAATCTGCTGATGGTCTACCGGATGGTAACTATAACGTCTATAAACATGGTCAGAAGCACAGACATTACAAAATTAATTTCCAATGCATGTATCACCAAATTCGTTGCCATTACTGATGACTAGAATTTTAGGTTTTTAAAAACCTGTAGAAACTATTACTTTATTTTTAGTCTTTATTGCATTTACATAGTTACATAAATAAATAGGGAAATTGTGAGTTGTGTAGTGCTTGTGCTACAGGTAGTAGACGACTGTTAGACACACTTTTATTTTAATTATTATCTGTTTATTATGCCAGATGTATTTATTTACTTCCTTTTTATTACAATATGTAATAAACCGAATTTTGACTATTTAGTTATTGTACTTTTGTTTTGAGATATATTTTTCTTTTGGAAAAAGTCTTTATACATACTAATATGGTGTAATGTATGGGTATTAATGTAATAAATAGATATAAATAAATAGATGTTAATGGATTATTTATTTATAAAACGATAATTAATATTAGTAATTAAAATTACAGGTTCACGCCGAAGATCATGAAGGTACAGTAGGACGTAGCGATTATACAAGCAGATACGCAGAATTGGCAGCACCTTTGCCATCTAACGTGAATCTGAATGAGATGGTATCAACCCTGCTCAGAGCCAGTGACCACAACTAAATTAAAAATTACTTAATTGATTAATTTTAAACTAATCAATTAATAATTCATAAACTAAAATATCATGCACTACTAATTCTGGCTCGACTTGTATTTTCGGTTGAAGATTCCCACTAAATGAATTATTACAATCAGGAACATGTATAGGAAAAAGGTGTATATTTGATTTTAAAATGCAACTGTTGAATTATTCTTGTAATTATTTTTGTTTATTAAAATAGAAGCGTGTTTTTGTACAGTTTGAAAATTTTATTATTCAACCCTGTGAATTACCCATTATTCTTTAGCCTTCAATTTCATTGTAATCTATCCTCTATTGTTTTTAACACATGTCATAATATGAGAGTGTCATGAGTTTGACGTGTTTGTGTGTCTGTCTATAGCGTCGTAGATACTAAACCAAAGTACTTTTTACGATGTGGTTCCTTTTTTATGACATGGTTTTTAACTACAATTTATTGTACAACTAGGTTAATATAATGTTCATTAGCCCACTGCTGGACATAGGCTTCTCCCAAGGTACACAACTGGGCATGATCTTCAAATTACATTAAATTTATTTTGCAATAAAGCTAGGTAGTCTATTTAGGTTGAGACTGTAAAATATAAAGTCCCTTTATTTTCTTGCTCATTAGGCATGCAAAATTAAATTCTCAATTTATTAAAAAAAATTAAGCCTAGATCAATCTTAAACTCATTATAACATTATTAGGTACTTAAAAATCCTTTAGGAAGTACTTCAACCCTTCTCATACAGTTGTTAACTTTACATCGTTGCTCCACCTAGCTGCAAAATATATTTTGTTTATTAACACGATAGTTTTAAGTATGGATGGAAGGACGGATGCATGTTTGTTACTCTTTCACGCAAGTATTATTACTGAACAGATTTTGATGAAATTTTACAATAATAAAGCTTATACATCAGAATAACACGCAGGTTATAATTTAAAACAGCGAAGTATAATCATGCCAAGTCAGTGTGACGCAGACAAAGTTGCGTGGGTCAACTAGTTGTTTCATATATTTTTTATGATATACTTATGAGGAAACAATAAAACAAAATATGATAAGTACTAAATATTATTTATGTAATATTCAGTTAAATATTCCATTTGCGTCGGGACGGGAACAATCTCTCGTAATTTAAGTTGACGTCAGAAGGGTGAGGTGCGCGGCCGAATAGTTTTCGGGCGTCCCGACCTATTGGTATGTAATCGTAGGGAACCTGTAGTGAAAGAAGAATGGGAAGAAGAATAAATGCGTTTAATAATGTCCATTATTACTATAAGAATAATAGTATATACCCTGAGCGCTATAAGCAAAGTATATTTTGTACAAAAATCGTCTGTGTGGGTACCTCATTTTATTAATGGATGATAATCTAATGGTGCACTTGCTTACACTAACGGTTTACGCTGGGGAACCAGTGTATAATGATAAGATCATGAGGTCAGGTTAGTTAAATAGTCTAACAAATACACCAGGAATATATCATGATGATTTCCAAAAGGAACCTCGAGGAGGTCAACCTTACATGGAATATTGCTAGCAATTTGTCCACATTGCTAACAATACCCTTTCCCCGACGTGTTTCGATTGAAATGTATGATAAGGCAGGGTAATTACAGGGTAAGAGGTAAGACATCCTACTATTTTGAAATTGGAGGTATCAGTGGAGTTACAACATAATGTGATATTTGTAGTGCTGTTCATGTATATAGGCGACGGTTACCGTTTATCACAAAGGTGGGCCGTCAGCTTGTTCGTCATTCCACACTGATGTAGTTGACTGTATATAATGAGACACTAATTTATAATTAAACAATAACATAAGTACCGAGTTTCATTAAATTAATTAAAATAAAATAATAAACATGTTTTGTTATAAATTTGATGAAATATGAACAGCCGAACTGACTTTTTTAGTTTAGCGCGTGTCGAAATATTAGTAGGTAGGTACTTTATTTTTAACATGTGGAAAAATCTTCACTCAGTCATTTACCCGCCACAGGGATGTCGAGGTAGGTGTATGAGATTCTTACTCACTGAAGAAACCACATGGTTTGTCTAAGAGACGCCGATGCCGGACCCAAGGGGTCGGTTTAGCATTATAGCTATAATAGAATCATTTTAAGAATACTAAAGCGAGAAATTACAATAATAATATCTCAGGACAATTCACACAGCGCCATCTAGTCCCAAACTAAGCAGAGCTTGTGTTATAGTTACTAGACAACTGATGTAAGTTTAGTGAATAAATTAGAATGTATCTAATATATTACCTGCGGTAAACAATACACAATTGCAGTCGACATTATAATAAATAAAAATAACAGCATTTTGGTAACAGTACCTATAATAAAGGTAGGTATAAAATTTACTGAAACGTTGATGAATTTGTTATTAATTAATGTTGTCGCATGAAAAATTGGTCGCCCGTGTTTTATTTTTCATCGCCTCAATTGCAATGTTGCCTGAAACAAAACATGGTTCAATTATACTATACATCTACCTACCAACTATTTTAAGCTGATTAAAATCAGAAAAGTATACTCAGCCAGAAGTAGCTCTTTCGTACAAAGACATTTGCGTAGTGTTATACATATATGAGCTAACGTTGAAACTATCATGGTGTTCATCATAAATTATAATCAGTATCTTTTTAGGGAATACATCAGTCCATATGTTGAATATTTTAGTGTAAATGACGCTAAAAGGTTATTTTAATATATTCTGAATTGCGTAAAATCTTTTCCCTTTTTTCCGGAATCCTTCTTGGCAGGTTTCCAAAACCTGCCAAGAAGGATTCCGGAAACTCATCAGCAATCATGAAGTCGTGTATTAAGAAGGAAGGAGATTACTATTACACACATATACCAGTAATGTAGTACTCTTGCCAGATATAAGTTTTCTTTTTTTTATGCTATTACCTATATATATATTTATTTCTATTGTTAACAGCATATTCTAAACTGTGTTCTTATTTGAAGGATTAGATATGGCAGTGACAAATGTCCTCAAAAATGGAAAAGAGTCAGGGTAAAAAATTATTTAGAAATATTTTGTTATATTGGTGCTGTTCATGTTTATAGGTAAGAAGAAGCAAGGTTTAAACATTAGTTTAGTTAACTGATATATGTAATACTACTGTATTGTTATAGGTTTTTTATTTCTTTACTGGTAATATGTTCAATATATATTATAGTTACAATGTTATCAGAAATGAATATATTTTACTTTGTATTTGTTTCGTTGTTTAGTTATATTTTTGGAGCTGTAAGTATCTTTGTCTACGATCATAACAAGGAATATGAACTCATTATTTTGACCAATAAATTATAATAAAAATTTACAATTAAAGTAACTTTAATAGTCAGCATATAGTATTTACTCTGTCTGTTACTCAAGTTTTTTTAGTAAATTTAAATTTACATCTAGTATTTAAATCGGAATGAACCGCTGGTATCAGTACCATCAGTTTGATTTACACGTGATTCTCTCTAGAAACTATCGTAGTAAATTTCTTGTTGAAGTAGCCATGGCTAGGAAGATAACTATTACCATCCATAACAATATCATTAACATATAACCTTATATTAAATTTATGTTTATTAATATTATGTAAAAAATTAAATTCAAAATCAATAAAAAATTGTTTATCTAACTTCACTATATCAAAACTAAAGTATACACATTTTATTAGCCTCAACAACCAGAAATAAATGACCAATATGAAAACACAACTCAAACTAATATTATTGAAAATAATAACAGAACACAAAATAATAATACTGCAGATAAAGTAAACATCAATGATATAAAAACTATAGAAATGAAGAATAATGAACTAGAACGTCCTAAACATTTCACTGCTAAACTGTATACAATAGTAACGTTTCCGATAATGAAATTTATTTCAACACCTAAAGTAAACAATGTATTGAGGAATATGGGAACTTGTATAGTTAATGGTGCAATGGAGATTTTATCATATTATTTCCCAACACCACTGATGCCTCTTATAGCAAGTGCTGCAGGTATGGTAATTCCTTTTGAGCCGGTAGTTATGCTAAGAGAGAAGATGCCAGTGACAAGTTACAGAAGAGCATTTAAATCTGCTTTGAATGGTTTCATGAATACATTTAACGAATTCAAAGTTGACGAAGAAAACGATGATCCTTATATGACAAGAAGATTTAATAGACGGTTTATGAACGAAGACAAAGAGAAGAAAGACCCTGAAGGCTAAGATTATAACATTATTAAGTTTAAAATAAATTAATAGTTTGCATTACTTAGACGGTTATTATTTATCAAAGTTGTTATTATTAATTTGATTGTAATAATAAATGTATGCATTGTATTATCAAATATACTACATGATTTTGTTGCTTCCCGTGTGTGAGGAGAAATTAATAAAGTATTATTATTTTTATTAATAAAATCTATGAAGCATCACTACCAAATATTTTTCTCAGTATAACCACAGATAACATAATATTACATACAGATACCCCATCCCATACAAGAAAATGGTTCCTTCCTAACTCGGGCTATTCTTCGGGCTATTTTATTTCGCCACCGTAGCCGCTAGATGTCGCTAGATCTGAAGCAGTTTTACTAGTGGGTGCTTAGTAACAAAGCATGAGAATAGATGGCAGTCAATTCAGTCTACATGACATCTGTTTTGCAAAGATATATATATAATAGATATGTAGGTAACTGTATCGTGTACCTCATTAGGGACGATTCAAGATTCAATGTAAATGTGTAGGTATAATATCGTTAGCCGACACTCTGCAGATATGGCTTATGTGCCAATGTATATACCTATTATGTTATGGTGTATTTTACATTCCATGCCTATTTTTTTGATATGTTGTAACGCGTCTGCGCTATACGTATAGCCCGATTTTGATACTTTTATACTCGTACGTATCAAAATCGGGCTATATGATTTTTTATTTCAATCGTTATGTCTAAGAGACTGGTTTTAGCTACAATTAATTTACTGGTATATACCTCATGTATTCTACGATGTACCCCTCTTTTCCCTAATGAGAATTCCGCTATATCTTATATATAAATTTTGTATCACAGTGTCAGTTGCCATATTTCTCCCACATTTTGATGAAATTTGATATGTATACTTGCCAGGTCTGAGGTATTGTTATCTATTTTTTATACCCCTAAGTCATAGGGGTGGCCTACCCCGAAAAAATATTTTTTTGTATTATGGACAATTTTTTATTCATTTATAATGTTACATTGAAAATACATACACGCCTAAATTTTCACCCGTCTTTCACCAACCCCTATTTTTAATAGCGATATTCTTACAAATATTATAAATGCTAAAGTAACTCAGTCTGTCTGTTTGTCTCGCTTTCACGCCAAAACTACTGAACTGATTTAATTGAAATTTGGTAGACAGATAATGTAGACCCTGAGAAAGGCTACTTTTTAATGCGAAAAAGTAAAAGGGGAAATGAAAGGCTATATGATGATATCGTAATTTTTAAAGTCAGATCTTGTAAGATTAAGTGAACAGGGTTGGTCTAGGTTTTTCATTATTAGAAATGTGTAACGGGGTAACACGTTATTTAGTGCGGAATTGTGTATTACAATAAAATTTAACGAGAAAATATTATAATGATGTCACTGGGACACTCATTGCCTTACTACTATATCGTCCGTTAGTCGCGAACTTTCTGGAAACACGAGAGGCGCGCTCCTATTGGTTAGTAGATGAGGTAGACGAGTCTCACGGCGCCGCAGGGTAAGTACTTACTATACATACGTAGTATACATATGGGTGTTACAAATATTTTTATTACGAGTAATATTACTCTGTTATCTAAGCAAGTAATGTGTGCTTATTTTGAACTTGATAACATTCTGAATTACTCGTATATCTTTCAATATCTTTAGCGGTATAAACCAGGTTATGTACTACTACTAGTATTGTTAGTGAGGGATAAAGTTGATGAACAAAAATAAAACAATATTCGTATTAAAAATATATTCATCTAATATTTTTGGCATTATTTTTAAGTTTCTTCCAAATACAAGGGGTCTGGCATGGGGTGTTATGTACCTACATTAAAAGATACTTTTTGAAATGTATGAAATGTATGTACCTACATTAAAAGATAATTTTTGAAATATATGAAAGAAATGTATGTACCTACATTAAAAGATAATTTTTGACATGTATGAAATGTATGAAAGAAATGTGTGTACCTACATTGAAAGATAATTTTTGACATGTATGAAATGTATGAAAGAAATGTAGTACCTACATTAAAATATATTTTTTTAAATGTATGAAAGTAATGTATGTACCTACATTAAAATATATTTTTTTAAATGTATGAGATGTATGAAAGAAATGTATGTACCTACATAAAAAGTTCATTTTTGAAATGTATGAAATGTATGAAAGAAATGTATGTACCTACATTAAAAGATAATTTTTGACATGTATGAAATGTATGAAAGAAATGTATGTACCTACATTAAAAGATAATTTTTGACATGTATGAAATGTATGTACCTACATTAAAATATAATTTTTGAAATGTATGAAATGTATGAAAGAAATGTATGTATGTACCTACATTAGAAGATAATTTTTGACATGTATGAAATGTATGTACCTACATTAAAATACAATTTTTAAATGTATGAGATGTATGAAAGAAATGTATGTACCTACATAAAAAGTTCATTTTTGAAATGTATGAAATGTATGAAAGAAATGTATGTACCTACATTAAAAGATAATTTTTGACATGTATGAAATGTATGAAAGAAATGTGTGTACCTACATTAAAAGATAATTTTTGACATGTATGAAATGTATGTACCTACATTAAAATATAATTTTTGAAATGTATGCACCGTACAATAACAATACACGTTAAACATCATACCACAGAGTCATACGCAAGTTAAAAACAAACTGCTATGATATATTAATGAAAAAGGAAAATCAACTTTATGGTATTCGAGTTAGGGTCGATTTCTCTCTTTTTTTTATTACTATTACTATTTTAATCTTACCAGTTGCCAGTATTTGAAGACAGCTACGATTCGTACTCGATATTTTAAATTATTATGTAATCGATTATTCAGTACAAATGTAAATAACCAACGACACTAATAATGTACTACTATATTCCGTTCTTTGAAACGGAACACTGATATAATACAAAATAATGAAAATTTACTGTTCACAACGACTCATTAAAAGCATCATCGAATAATGCGCTGTAATAAAATCCTGTTATCGATTATTCAAAAAAATCGATAATACATGTATTTATTTTTAATATGACAACACTTCATAATTATTATTGGAATAATGGATAACACTACATAAGTATTATTGGAAATAGTATTACTTGCTTGTTCGGCTATTTTTAATTTACTTAAAATTTTTTTATATGTTTAATTTACAATAATAATATATTAAGTGCTTATTATTGGAAAATATAAAAAAGACATTTAATTAGGCCGATACAAATGACGACAATGCCATCTATGAAAGCATTTTGAAAACATTGAGCCCCATATTAGCACTGATTAAAGTGTAATTAAGTACTGGAAAATAACAAAATGAGTAAATATATGAAAATTACTTTTCTAAACGCATTATTTCATTTTAACATGTATATATAACTTTTTAAAAATTGATTAAACATTTTTGAAAACACAGTTTTGTTTTTTAAAACGTTTGCAAAACTATGAAGAATTCCATCGATACCAATCACGCCATCTATATGCAACTTTTAGCAATAATAATGGCTACTTCCTCATTGAGTGCCACTGGTATAACGTAGAGTCAAAGTAAATAGGTGTTAGGCATGACCACACAATTAACTTAGTATTGTAATACTTATACTGTTTTAAATATAAAAATTTAATCAAAATACTGTAATCAAATGTCAGTTTTAAGTCTAAAACTATAAATATGCATTGTACCTAAATTTTTGATGAATTGTCATGATGGATTATTAGTATTATATTTTTTATTAGTATTTTTATAATTATCACACGTGAAACTTTTAATATTATATCAGTCCACAAAGGCAGACATTGTTATAACTCCAAAGAAAGGGCAAAAGAATGAGGTTGTAGCAACTGTTCTATTCGTTGCACTTTGACGAAGAGTTTTTTCATCCTCTTTATTTATTTTCTTTTTTCTTTTAGGTTTTTTCCTGATTATTGTATTTTTTGTAGTTATCGCTTCACTGATAATTTTATTTGCATTTGTAACTTTTCCACCAATTTTGTATTTTTTCAAATTTTCTGTGATATCTATCTTTCTGGAAGTTTTCTGGTTATTATTAAGTATAGTCCAATAGTGTCTGAAACCACTTTTGTCAATGAATACTCTTTTTAATGGAAAATCCTCATTGTCTCTTCTCATCATGAAATCCTTAAAATAATCGGTTACAACGTGGAAGGTCGGTTTTAAAATATTATATTTATCTCCATTGTGTATGATTTCACCCACATTTTGTAAATCTACATGTTCTGCAAATTGTGTAGAAATATATTTTATCTGAAAAAAAAAATAGGAAACTTACCTGAATTTTATCAATTCAAATGAAATCTATGAAATTATATGATATTCGTTTATATATTAATAACCAAAGACAACACAAACATCTATCCTAACTTGTACTATAGTCACTAAACAATGCATAGAAATATTTAAAAATATATTTCGTAAATATACACCCAGATATTATTATAGAAATCGCCAAGACCAAAACAAACAATCATACTCATTAATATAAATGTTTGTATTTTGCAAGGACTAGAATCCGCAACTATCAGTAGTAAGGCGGTATGTTAATCCGTTAGGTCACCGAGACCATCATTAGGTACATATAATGTTACAGGTTTTGTAAATATTTAGGTATATCAAGGAATAGAACCCCCGACCATCGGGAGTAACGCTGTGATATATCGATGTATATCAAGTGTTTACACTTGATATATCATTACAATTTTAAATTAATACTAAATGTATTACTTACCTGAATAATAATAAAAATATGAAATAACGTAGATGAGTCAACCATATTTAAAAATCAATAACAATAAAGAAAATATTGAAGTCCAGTCATACATAAGTACAACAATGATTGAAAAGTACGATGCATTTAATTAAAATTGACGTAAGAGAAATAATCATAATAGTAATCAAAAACAATTTTGTTATTGACTTCAAGTATTTGGTACCTATATATATTTAAGACTGCATGTTAAACCCAAAATAGATACTTTCGAGATGTGTCGGAACAACTAGGTATCAGAACCCGTCTCTCTACTGTATGCTTCCAGCGTCTCCTAACTTTGCTCGGCCACGTGATCAGTCGGGAACCATATAATTTGGAAAAATGTATAATATTAAGTCAAGTGGATGGAAGGGCCAGAGGTAGGGCACCTGCACTATGAACCGATTCCGTTCGAGATGCCGTCAAGAGAAATATATACAATCGGCGATCCATTTGGCATTGTTTGGAAGAAGCATTCCAGGTGGTCACGACCCTTCAGGAATTGACAAGGAAGTAGATATTTCAGACTAAGTACAATCATATAATGTAATACCTACTTTGTTAGATACTAACATATAATACTATATGTATTATATGTGATTTATACAGTATACTACGCGACTTTCTGCTTTTTTTACATAAAATATCGCCTATCCGTCCACATGATATAATGTATTTTTACGTTTTTACTCATAATTATTTCAATCGAAGTAATCGAATTGATGTAACTGGACTGTGTACTATAAGTATTTCAAGTAATCTATTATTAGATTACAATGTCTTTTAAATCCTTCACTTGAGTAATGATTTACTCCATACTGAAGGTAAGTGGTAAGCGTCGCCTCTATATATACCTAAATAGCATGGACATTAAGCTATATTATGACAGACATGGCACATGAGTTGCCATTCCTGGGGACTAAAATTTGCCACCATCTCTAATTTCACTGTCTTATCTAAAATTGCAGCCGAAATACATTTAATAAAACAAGCTGCTCGGGATTTTCACTTAATGTTAGATATAGACACCTACATTTATAAATACAAACCGAAAACAATATGTCTTTTAAAAAAAAATCTTTTAAGTTTCTTGCTAGTTCTTCTTAATTGAATCTGCATACTGTACAATAAAAATACAAAAAAAATTACGTTCATGATATGAATAAATGGTTTTTAATTTGATTTGTGTTATTCATGCAGAAGACTTCGTACTAAAGCCTACCTCTGTACTAATATTGTACTCATAAGCTATTTGTTTGGAGATCTTTGGGGGAGGCCTATGTCCAGCAGTGGACGTCTTCCGGGCTGCGATGATGATGATGATGATGAAGCTATTTGTTAGAATTATTCTGACCATTTTGTAGTCGACCTTCTTCGAAGAGATTTCGAATACATGTGGATTATAGAAAAAAAAGAAAAACATAATAGGTTTTACTTACTTAAATATATTTTGCAACGTATTTACTAAAGCGTAAAACAAGACAGCCTCCCAGAACATTCCGACAACATATTTTAAGCGAAATATCAAATTATACATATTAACATTCGAGGATTCAAAATTAATATAAATTGGATGATCAACTAATGAAATTAGGTACGAATTTTTGTTGAAAATAAAATTTGTACAATATTTCAATGTACGAACAAAATATTGGATCAATACCAAATATTAATTTCAATTTAAAATAAGAAAATAAATGTTTTATTAACAAATATACAAAAATTTATATTATAAAACAAATTTAAAATAATTTTCAACGCATCATTTGGATGTTAATTTAATATAAATACATCTCATAGGTACACATATATCAGAAGTTACATATTCATTCTAAAATTTTAAAACATATATTTTAAAATATAGATTTTTTTAATGAAATGCAATTAAATGTATTTAATTTGTTATAAATTTTAAAAAATAGTACATATTTAATTTAGGACATATGTATTTATGTCTATAATTTGTATAATGCACATATTACAAAATACATATATAATATAATAATAGATTTGGCGAATTTAATAATGGCAACGTAGAATAGATTTTTTTTAAATACTACAATATAAATTTATAAATTTTACTAATATTAGTAACTTCTGATATCGCTCCTATTACGTATCCCACAGTATACATATTTCTTCCGATCAACCCGAAAAACAATAATAGACTAACATTAGTAAAAGTGCATGAAAGTGCATATGCTGGTGTTTTAACCGCAATATATTGTCCATTGATATGATTCTCCATGAATCAGATTCATTGACCCAAACAGCGGCTCTCTCAAACATAAGGCGACTGATTCACATCAGATCATAGTACCTCACTCTTTGAAGTGATTCAAAAAATTGTATAACAAAATAGACACGTGACTTAACTGTGGTAATTAAATTTACCAATTATATTACAAGTGGTATAAAATCATGAAAATTATTAAAAATAATTTGAATACATTAATAGGTGTAATAAATACCAGATTGATTTTTATTAAAAACAATATTATGGTTAAATTTCTTAATTTAACATATTTAGCGTTTAAATATTGATTTATTAAAAAATATATTCACGGAAACACAAAAGTAACTAAGCAAAAGAATTGTGTTACTAATGATTATATTATATAAATTGTGTTCATTAATAGTGAAATAATATATGTATTATTCATAATTTCATTAATAATGTATTATAATGAACATGTATTTTAAGTTATTGAAATTGACAACATAAGCACATGTTTTTTAATGAAACATTTTCGTTAAATATTTTTAGTGTTAAATAGGTATTATTTTATCAGGTGCATGAAATTCCATTATTCCATTCATATCGCATTTGCAATAAATAATTTAAGCGTTAAATTAAAGAATTTACTAATATTTATTATACGTATTTAAATAAAAGAAAATATAGAAGTTTAATTTTTACTTTTTTATTATTAGAAAGTATTTTAAATCACAACTCATTGTAACAAGATCACCTCGTAATATAAATTAGTGGAAATAGCCGATAAATTTCCTATGAAATAACTTGAAGTATTTTTATACTCGTGGTATAAATATATTTTTTTATTGTGTGAATGAATTGTTTAATGTAATGCCAATGAAAAGTTTTATATTTTATTAATAGAATATTTTAAAGTAAATTGAGAATTTATTGTGTTTATTGCTATTTTAATAAGATCTAATAAAACAGTAACAACAGCCTGTTACCGGAGTAATAATAAAACAAAATCAATATTGACATGATTAGTATGAATTAAAATAAAATATACCTAATCGGTTTAGACTATACTGTAGTTAATAATATTTGTTAAAAATTCGTACATTCAAAACAGTGTAATTAAGAAGTCAGGAAAATACTTTTATATATATAAGAAAAATTAAGGCACCTGTGCGATTATGCTAGGATGGTAATATACAATCCGTTAGTCGTCAGATTGCATTGAATGCGATTATTGCGATTGGCAGATTTGGTTGTTATGCCACGCATTCATTGAAGATGTGTGAGAACGGCCAACTGTATATCAACAGCCTTAGAAATATTAAAACTTTTCACTGACAATCTTTTAAGAATAAAAAAGTAAAATTCAATAAATTAAATTAACATGTTAATATGTTTATTATTGGATCATATTTTTACAACTGGTTATATAATAGGTATTATTGTAAAGACTAGTACACACTTATTGATAATATTAAGTTAAATTATTTTCATCACAAAAATAAAGGCATTCAGGAACATTGTAACTTAAACATTTATCCACTGATAATATAGTCGATAAGTGTATACAGCCTAAAGATTACAAGCTACTAACTTGAAGACTTGAGTCATAAAAGTGCAACATTTGTATCTATATAGGTCTGCATTTTTATGACAAAAGTCCTATTGACTAGTAATCTGGTGGATATGTAATTACTCGTAATTATCTAAACTTCAGTGGGTAAAATCTACATACTATTTTATTACAAATGTTATATTAAAAATTACAATTATTACAATTTACGGATTATCGATTTCTAAACGAATTGTTAGTAAAACAAGATTATTAAGACTAGATGAACTATTATCTAAGAAATCAGTCAGATATTTGTTAAGCATGTTAAAATATATGTATATATTATAAGCGAAGAGTGAACTTAACATTATTGTTCTTTCAGTAATCATTTACTTTAGAAAAATATGATGTCAAAAGATTTATCGTGTAGATTGTAAGCTCGTCCAATAAAAGGAAAAATCATGATGGCATAAATCTAGTTTCATCTAATATAAAACTAATTAATTTGCCTACATTGCTGTATTAATTCGCTCAGGACTTAAAATTGATTATGTCACTTATGTTACACAGTGAATACAACACGAAAAATGTCTAAAAAACTATACATTCATTATTTATTCCAATTTGAACTGGATTAATCACTAATTAGTAGTATTACACACCGTTGTATAACTAATTAACTATGTCTTTTGTTCTATCCGTTCGTAAACAGTAACAATCATTAGTCCTGAGCAACTTCATACTGAACGCGTAAGACGTTAACACGGTAAAAACTAAATAATAAAAATAGTAAACACGTTTTAATTAAATGGAAATTAATTTTAATATTTACAATAACATTATTAAACAGCTAAATATGTATTAAATATTGCAAAGAGTCATAAGTCGAAGTGTCAAAACTTTTATCTTTACATACACATAAATATGAAAAAATATATTCTATGTGAATCACTATTTAAGTAGTACATATTGAGAGCAATTTTATTATGAAAATATAAGTAATATTTATTTTACATGTAAATATTTACATCGAACCTCGTATATCTTGTTATGAGTACAGACAAATACTGATAGAAAATTAATTGAGAAAACACTGGAATTAATATTTACTACTCGTTACTAATGCTTAGACGAAGGCCACACGCGCTAATTAAAAGTGGACGTAGCAATTATTTATTAATAAAAAAAATGTTCATTTTAAAAATTACATACTTAAATATTTATACCAGGCGAGATTATTTTTTAATTTTACTTTTGTATTTTTACAAGTCGCATGTGTGCTCCGCCGTTAAGTGGAAGCGAAATTATAATAAAATTGTACCTTAACAACTAATCTTTGAATTGTATTTATTATAAATCTATAATACTATCACACTTTTTAGAACTGCATTTCTCCAATCATAGCTGTATAAAGTCACGTATACCTTTGTAATAATTGCTTTTTTTGTGTACAATTTTATTACGATGGCACTATAAATTCGTCCATAGGTTCAGAATAGTCTTGTAATGTCTCCACATTAGCATGCCTCATCTTTACATAGTATAAATTGAAGTCGCTTCTGGTGTTTGTTCGCTTAGATCTTTTAAAACTACGCAACGGATGTTAATGCAGTCATTAGCAATAGATAGCGTGATTAAAAAGGAAGATTTGAATGTATAATACATGTACACCCGTCCGAATGTGTCGAAGGAAGTAACATTCCTTATGTTCAACAAAATTGGAATCTTTGTTACATATAAATGTTAAATTATTTAAGGTTATCGTTACCCGTTCAACGTACAACAGCGAGTCATTATTCCAACATAATTTTCTTTCTGATATCGTGTATCGCTCCCTTAAATTGTGAACCAAATGTACTTCAAATGGATTCAGTTTTGGTATTAATCGACTATTCATTTCTAAATACAAACACTAAGATTTGGCATCCCAGTGATTTATTACAAATGTATACGTACTTTAAAATATCGACTTGAAGCGGATAGACATTGGACTTTCTAATGGACCTCTAATAGACCTTTTGGACTTCATTTATAAAAAAAAGACTGTCATATTAAAAACATTTATATTATTTAAATTCATATCCTCATTTATAAATTTCATTGCAAAAGATCGAGAACAGATTATCTCTTGAAATTATATTTTTTTATATGAAAATAATATAGTAATAATTACGCGATTTTAAATCTTGGCAATTTTCAAATTTGGAAGTCAAAAATCTAAAATATTACATTACTTTTTATAAAACACATTATAATATTTACATTTCTTTTAAAAAATTATTTAAAAAACACACCAACAATTTCAATAATGTGAAAACTATCTTTAGTGTATTTTAAGATTTAACTAGAATTTTAGTTTTTACATTTCTTTTATTTACTATCCAAAATATGACAAAATGACTCGTTAATTTTTTGAATTATTTAGTTTATGGAGATGATTGAAGAATTATTTTAATTCAAAATAAAAAAAATACACAATACCAACGCTATTTTATTCATATTTGAATGTAATAAGTAGCAGAAGATTTTAGTTCATTATTTGGTTTATTCGGTAATAATTAATTATTGAAGAATTTATTAAATTCTTATATTTAAATAAAAGTTGTTGAAAGAAATTATTCATGTACACATTAAATTAAATATTCAGCTATATTGAGGCACCGTAATGGAACTTTTAACAGATTATCCAGCGAACGTCATAAGCATTTGTCATAACAATGAAGACGCCAAAATCAGACTTATCATTACACTCATAAGGTACAAATTGTTTTGACTTAGTAATTTCATTAACATGAGCAATATATTTGAAAATGCATGATCAGGAAAAGCCTATTCCAAACAATGTTGGTATTGAAATACAGTATAATTCTGAATTTCAAGGAACAGGTAAATGAGTTTTCATTCAAATTTGTTGATTTCCTGATCAGGCATAGAAAATATAACCATTCCCTTATTACGTCAGTAAAATGAGTGACTTCGATTGATGATTTATAAATTAATTGATTAATTAATTCATTCTAAAACGTTACGATGAACTTCTTATTCATTTATTATCATAAATGAAGAAAGAACGTAATGATAGAAAATAATACAGTTGTGTAAATATAGTACTTGTTTGATTGCTATTAGACCCACACTTTTCTCTATAGAACAAACTAAAAATATTAGCATGAGCTTATAATAATTTTCCATTGAATACGTAAGAACAAATTTCTTCATTTTATATTTAACTGAAATTTCTTCAATTTATATTCTTAAGAATATAAATTGAAGAAATTTCAATTTTTTATAGTTTCCATAAATAAGCAGTTTTAATGTGGGTACGAAATAATCTCTGTATGGTTTCCTACTAAGTGTTGGGCGGAGCCCTTTATGTGCTCATGTATTTTTCTACAAGGAACAATGGGCTATAACTATGGCGAAAAAAGCAGCGAAGTATGAGTATAGTTGCAAGTGTGTAAGTTTTAAAAATAAAATAATACAATTCTTTAGGAGGAAAGGAGATTGCTAATTATAGGAACTAATGAGCATTTTGCTAATAATGTACCATGTCAGGTTAGACTCCTCATGAATTTACCACGACGGGCTAACCAACTAACTCCATGCATATTGTATTATCATCTACTGGTACCCACCTGCGTATACCGTTAACCATTCAATCATGATAGATACAAATAAAACTTTTTCTGAATGAACGTGCATGTTTTTTATTCTTATGTAAGTTAGCATTTTTACTCCCACTTTTACAACGTCAGTAATAAGAAGTTTTAATTATAAAATTATGTGGAGTTTCATTATTAAATAATCATAAATAGCACCCTATCTGGTTGACATAAAGTTGTCAATTCCTTCAAAATCGAGTCACTCACCTCACCGAACGTTCTGTACAATATACCTCAACACTTGTTAGTTACTTTCGAACCAAACTCATGTAGTATATCGCAAGCCATCTCCAAATCGTTTCGTGTGATGCCCAATGCTCTTACAACTATGTCTTTGGGGTACCCTTCACCTACTAAACGTGCAATGTAGTCCAAATTAATGTTTTCATACGACACGTTGTCACCGTATTTTCTGCCGTGTTTATCGTGCGTAAGGGGGTTGATTTTTTTTGCTGAAATTAGAAATAACTTATTAGCAAAAGCGAATTAGTTCTCTATTTTAACCTAGAGGATAAAACGGGAGTTTTTATGTGAGAATTAATATTTAGTTTTAACCGGATATATGTTTCGAAGCTGTTTACTTACGCTAATAACCAGGATCCTAGTACTACCCGATTACTTAAAAGAAATTTTTTTTAGATAAACCTTGTGATCAACAAGCAAATACAACTATAATTATATGATTAAAATAAAGTACTATGTACAAAATATCCATTGGCGAATATCTAATTCAAAATCAGTGAGGTCAAATAACGGGATAAAGGCAAGATATAATAATGATTATATAAAACTACTTACGTCCTAAAGGCAATTCATTCTTCTCCGCCACAACGTTCTCATACGGAGGATCTTTCATATCTTCCGATGGAAACTTGGGCATTGTCGTTGACTTGGTGGGCTGATGGTCCACACTGCCACTCGTCGTCGATGGCAGCGACCTTTGCCGTGGCGGCGCTCTATTTTCTACCTTATCCCTATCGAAACTAGATCTATCTATCCTATCTGGCTTATCAGGCGGCCTATCAGGTGGATGACGAAATTCTATATGCCTACTTTCGTTTGGCAAAGGTACATGTCTATCTCTTTCTTGCACATGTCGTTCGGGGACATGTATTTGTCTATCTGTCCTATTTTCTGGGGGATGCACTAATCTGTCAGGTACTTGCCGATCTCTAATTTCTTGATGACGTATATCCGGCATTTGTCTATCTACTAAACGGTTTTCTTGTAATCTCTCTTGTTTCTCTACCGAGTTGGGTGGACATCTATCAGGAACCCTGTTTTCTGAATTCAATCTATTTTCTAACAATGACGGAGCTTGTCTTTCTGGTAATCTGTTATCTGGTTGATTAGGTATATGTCTGTCTACGGTGGGTGGGTGCTTTTCAGTAGAATTAACAGTGTTTCTTTCTTGTTTTTCTGGAGGATTCGGCGCCTGTCTATCTGATTGTCGACATTCAGGCACCGGTCTTTCAGTGGGATGTCTTTCTAACCTACTTTCTGAATTGGTTCTACTTTCTACATGTGGTGTACGTCGCTCTCGGTTTTCTATCACAGGTATTTGAGTACGGGGTTCGTGTTGTTGTTGGATTTGTTTATCGGATCTAGAGTCTGTTCTTGGGTCTGATAGTCTGTCATCTATTTGGCGTTCGAGGGGAGGCGCCGGTAATGGCCGGCTATTCGATTGTGGCGTACACGCGCGACGAGGCTTCTCGAACGCTCTCGGATCGGGTGGCACCTGGAATGAATAAATTATAATTATGAAACAATTATTTCAAATCAATGTATAGTAATAGTCAATTTACAATTGCAATATTTATTTTTAGGACTAGTCTCATGGAACATTTCCATGAGACTAGTCCTAAAAATAAAATAAATAAAGGTAATAAAATCCGGTATATAATAGGTATTTGTGCTTCATTTAAATGATATAGCGTGAATTTTAGTAGAAAATATTAAATAAATATAGGCCGTTATAGGCCGGCGGTATTATTGGCACGGTGGGCAAAAACAGCATTATGGAATCTAAAGAAAATTAAATTATATTATAGAAGCACTTTTATGATAATTATCCAGAGTAACAAAGACAAGTAAAATAAACAAATCACAAGGTTGACAAGGTAGTAAGTGGGTAGAATAGCCGTCCACATTGGATTGGGGAGGTCTACATTTAAACTTAACTTCTCTTAAAGTTAGTAGTCTATTGTTACCTCATGTCTAGTGTCAATGATCCCCGTGATTGTTTCAGTGGAGCCTGTGATGATAGACGTCAGACGATGTCGCGAGTCCGGCTCTGGTTCTAATGAAGACCGCCTTCTCGGTTCTGTAAAATATATTTATCAATATCAAAAAAAAGGATCAGTTTGGTTTGTTATCAGTATTTTCCATGAGGGTGTTTGTACTTTCAAATGTAATTGTTAATCTTTGTATCACATAAAGATAAAACAATGTTACCAAATAATATATTCTGTGAATTTATTAATACGCTCATTTCTTTAACAGGAGAGGAGTTTCTATAAAATAGCTCATGCTCTTGTATAAACGAGCCATTCAATTTTTAACTAGTCCCAAACTACGCAAAGTTACTGCTCAGTTTGGGACTAGATGGCGTTGTGTAAATTGTCGTGTTATTAATATTTTTGCTAGCAACGGGGTCACTAGTCGCTATTTACTCAATCCGTCTCCCCCTTCCTCTTTAGCATAATTAGTACATCGTACAGGCGGCGGCGAGGTAGACGTTATCGGTAACCGTCATGCTCGTTGTTGCAACGTGAGTACCTTGTGCGGTGGCCGCGGCGATGTCCTGCACGCTGGAGGCGGCGGCCAGCGCGGGCTCGGCGGGTGAGAGGCTCTTCCGGGGCGGCAGCGGCGGCGCGCGCAGCTCCCCGTAGGCGTTCTCCCGCGCGGCGGGGGCGGCGGCGGGGGCGGCGGGGGCGGCGGCGGCGCGGCGCCCCCCGCGCGGGGAGTGCCGCGGGGACGCCGCCGGGGACCGCACCGAGGGCCGCAGCGCGTCGATCGTCGACGTCGCCGCGTTGAACTCCGCCCAGTCCTGCGGCCGCATTGTCACAATGACGGTGTCGGTGATTTAGCAGTTTAGTACGCTTTACTTCCGACGGTCGCGGGTTCGATCATTTTGTTTCATAAGTATGATTGTATCGGTGTTTTTATATATATTACTAGCAGTACACGCGACTTCGTCCGGGTGGTATTTAACTTTATTTTTCTAAAATAAAAGTACCTACCAAAAAAGTCCCGTCAAAATCGGTCCAGCCATTTCAGAGATTAGCCGGAACAAACAGACAGACAAAAATTATAAAAAATGTTATTTTGGTGTAGATATGTACCGTATTTATATTCATATGCATGTAGTAAAAAATGGTTCTTTGAGTTTTACAAACAGACACTTCAATTTTATTTATATGTATAGATGTATATACTTAACAGTATTTATGTTGATTGTCTGGTACCCATAACACAAGCTTGTGTTATGGGTACCAGACAATCAACATAACACTAGATGGCGCTCGGCCATTTGTCCAGGGATATTGTATAACAAATTCATTCTCGAACGAACAGTGCCGTCGACGCTGTTCTATTGTCGAATGTAAGTTCCGTGAATTATGTGAAAGAAGCTCTTCAAATCTTTTGAATAATTTTAGGTGGATATTTGGGCCGCACATGGGTGGACCATATGCGTGTGGTTATTAAAATGTGTAAGGGGCACAAAGATAACGATAGATACCATATATGCATTACATTTTATGTACATATTATACTAGCCTATATGCTGTGATTTATAAATATGCATACATTAATATCCAAAATTGTTGTAACTGGATAATGCAGAAATATTTTATATTCTAAATTTGTATTTAAATTTATAGTTCTTTTATATTACATTCTTGTTTTTGATACTTCAATACATTCTTTCTATTCTTAATTGTCAGTAGCCTATATTAATATATTTTCTCCGTTTACCTAGTCTTTTTTCTTATTACTACAACACGTTATCAACACGATTTCAACAAGCTCAATACATTATAGGAAATCCGAACAAGAAAAAGATTTTAATTTGTGATTTTTGGGGGTAATAAGGAAAAATATTAGTTCTGTCAAAAATGTCACATGAAGGAAGCGGAGAAAAAGTAAGTCGAATTCCTCATTAATTCCGTCGTTTTGTCTTATAAGTAGCACAGATAAGATCTAAAAGAGAAGGGTATCCTTGGTGAATGTTTAAAATGCCTAATTACTAAGATCTATGGTCACCAATATGTTTACGGTGCGGATTGTTCAAGGCATGGAATAATAGGAAGGCGCCTGCAAAGATATGCCTCACAGTAGACGACGGAGCAGTGGTCTACGTAAAATGGCCATCGTTGATCATTACATGATGCCTTTGAAGACGAATGAAGAGGAATATATTAGGCTTTATGTGGACTTTACAAAACTTAGCTGATATTGACAAAATTAAGTATTAAAGATTCCGTAAGCTGTCATATATTCCTATGAAGTCTCACTTTTGGAATCTGTCTTATGGATAAGGTATTTTATTATTAAAAGGGAATTAATTGATGGTATCTTGGTGATGACTATCGTCCCGACTTTTGACGGTAAGAAGATGAAGAGTTGTGACTAATTCTTGAGGACTTTTGGGAATGAATTGTGGTTGATCCTGATGGTGCAATATATGGTTGGGCTGGTATTATCCACGTCCCCTGTTATAACTCAAGAGGTATGGAATTGATACAACTTGTATTATACATTATATATTGTCTCAGTGAGTTTAATATTAGCGAAGCCTACAGTATACTATAAATTCTTAAAATTAATTTATTGATCTTCTCTTACCGCCATATATGTATATTAGAACGATAAAGGAAATAATATGATTGTACAATTAAATTATATAGTAATAGTGCTGAGATACTATATTTTTGTACATATATTTTCATACTTATATTGTTATTTTTCATTTTTTCTTTTGATTTTTTTTTGGCTTTATTTTTGGTCATGTGACTTATATTATAATAGAATGAAATAAATCTTTTAATTTATAGAGAAAAAGATATATAATAAAATTTAATTTTTAGAATATTTTCAAAAGCAGTGATATGCCTGCTGATGTTTTTAAGAAACAGTAGGTATGGGGTTGGCAAAATATATATATTTTTTTGCAACTACTTTTTTTGCCTTTTTTGAACATTTCTCATTAAGGGGGAGTGTTGCAACTGGCTAATGAAGAAATGTTTTATATTCTAAATTTGTATTTAAATTTATAGTTTTTTTATATTACATTCTTGTTTTTGATACTTCAATTCCTTCTTTCTATTCCTAATTGTCAGTAGTCTATATTAATATATTTTCTCCGTTTACCTAGTCTTTTTTTTATTACTACAACAAAAATAACCAAAATATAAGATTGTGAATTTAGCCCAATGATTAAGTAATGCAATTTCAACCACTTTCACTGAAAACTGTTAGACATACTTCAACAGTTGTTTCAAGTGAGCAAATATTTATATAAAATTATAAAAAGCATACCATACCAGTCCTTCAAACAAACATGCTCTAGTGAAATTCAACTCTATAATTTAGTACTTTGAATTGATTTTCGTTTAATCATGCATCTTTATCATCATCAAAACACCAAACATAACCAATATTTTTTTAATAGGAAAAACATTGGTTCCAAACAAAATAAACAAATTAAAATAGATAAAAAAAAAACACAAAAGCACATTATCACCAAGCGTATATTGTCAACATTAAAAACTTAAAAATAAATAAATCAGTAAGTCAGCAATAAAAAAAATACTATTTTACAAAAAAAAGTCAAACCTTAATATTAATTAAGTCGAAATTAAGTTAAAAAGGATTCGATATTTTACGAACACAGCTACAAAAAAACTGACTTCGAATATTAAAAAACAAGATCTTTCATATAACCTATTAATTAGATAGAGCCCTTGAATTTGCAATAATTAAAATTAATTACATACTATTTGCATATTTTATATGAAACACTGAAATTAATTTTAAAACAACTTATTCTAAACTTCTTCTAGGTGTATCAATTTCAATAGAGGCCATTTTTAGGCATTGAAATAGAAAGTTATCATGTTTAGTCATTATAACACTGGACATTTATTCATTTTTTATAATTTTAATAATAATTTTATATACATAACATTCAATTTACCTCATAATTACTATAATTTTTTTTTTGTTAATACATTCATATTTAAGGATTGTTTCAGTAATATAAGTCTTCATTTGTCCCTAAACTATCATAAATTATTATAATAAATAATACTATAACGAGAAAAGAATAAATAATTGGCACGAACAAAAATTTGCACATATAAAAAATAAATCATGCTAAGTAAATTTTACGAATCCAAATTTTAAGTACTTGTATTGATATAAATTATCTAATATTAGTCACGGGTATAATAAATCAGTCCAGTAAATTGTATATATATTTCGAATAATTTTGAATTTAGAAAAAAGTATTATATTCAAAACTTTAATTTATTCGAATTTTAAACAAAAATTTAATTAATTGCTGTATTCTTATTTTGAATAAATGTTAAATTTCGATTATTTAATCGGAATACAAATAATATTCTTAACAATACAAATATTATATGTATTCTAATAATATTGTTACGTATACGTTTTTACGTGAAACCTTCACGCACAAACAGAAATACAATCAGTTATCGCCTTTTCGCGATTTTACGACTTCACGTATAAGTAAATATCGATTTTATATAATGAGCAATTAGGTACATATTACTACTACTAAACGACTACAAAGGAATATATGTACGAAAATATATGTGACATTAAACTATTTGGAGTTTAAAGCAACCAGAGAAAGTTATTCCAAATGATTATAATTGATACTGATTTCAATACCATAATTCATTAGGACTCATAACACTTTTATTATCCATCTCCACGATTATCTAAGGCGTAGACAGAATACTGGCTACCAAAAACCTGTTACGATTTTTATTAAAACATTTTTAACAAACATTCATTTGCTATAATCATATCTATATATGCACATTAGGGTTACATTACACTATCATATATCAAAAATTAATAATTATCGGTATTTATAATTCTAAGTTATTTAAGGTAGTTTAACGTTAAATAGTAGTTTAAAATCATTGCCCAATTCATGTAGACATAGATATATCACAATTATATTTTTTAGGATCGTAACGATATTAATTTTGAATACATGTAAATACCTCAAAATTGATTTCATAGAAATTGAGTCTTTCCGTTCAACTAGATCTATATATTCCTGTGTTCCGTATGATAGTGTAATGAACCTTAAAATATTTTTTCATTCATTTTCAACACATACTTCATTTTTAGATCATTGTAAATGTCAAGTAATCTGATGGCCTACACGATGGAAAACAACTTTCATCTACCTAATATCTAGATTTAAATATAATTACTTTATATGTATTGTATGTTATTATGTTTTATTATATGTTAGTCTGTAATATGGGCCAATATTGTCATAATAATATAAACAGTTGTCTGAATTAAAATAAATAAATAAAGAACAAACATCGCAAACTATACTGTGACACCCACGCTCGTAGTTGCTCATGAAATACTTAAATTGAGACTTAAGATTTTACATAGACGAATGAAAATTGCGTGACAGATGAATACTTAAACAGTACAATAATACTCCTACTTATACCCCACCACTTTATACAAATTCTGACATACGCGCTTTTCATTCTTCACTCCACTCACTTAGAGTTCAATTTACGGTAGACAGATCTATCAGTTTTCGTTTTCTATAATCTCTAGTTCTAATTAAACATTATGTATTTATATATAGCCCACGCGAATTTGACATACACAGTTATGGCTCGATTTTTTTGTATTTTGAATGGCAAACACGCATTTAACGCCCGTAATACTGATGCGCAGCCGTTTCGAAGGATATGTGGAAGTTATGCCTATAGACATGTAACTTCACTGCCGTAAAACCAAAGCCGAATGCCCTTCATGTTAAACAGCTTAGCATACAACAAAAGTAAGCTGCTTCGCGGCTAAAATATATAAAATTGAGGTACCAGCATTCAAACTAGCTTTAATTCGCAACTTCAGTTCTACCTATCACATAACTCCCTATTATTTCTGTATACAGTTGCAGCTTTCCACCGTTAGGCCATCAGTTCGCTTCCCACTTACAATAGTAAATTACCTATTTAATACTAATAATCATAATATTGATAAATTCCCATTCACTAATGGATCAGATCCCGCCATAGACAACAACACGACAAAACAATGGAATGTAACCGCCGGGTCGTGCAAAGCCCGTGCAAATATTAAGCATGCGGTGATTTTCTCGCGCGTCTCTGTAAAACAAACAACAGATGGTGAAGCATGCGTGTGTAGCTTACAAACTTGACTGTCAATACTTAACAGCGTTTTTTAACCTCTAGAATCCACGGCACCCTAGAAAATGATACAATTCCATAACCCTCTCTAATCAAATGGAGATGAATCAAATTAAAGACTTGTGTGCTCGATATAAGAATATTTTAAAGTTTAAAACACTGCTTAATACAATAAAATTTCGTTTATATATGATTATGTATATATAGATGCGATCACAAGTGTATCTCATTTTTCTAATGATGATGGTATGGTGTCTGCAGCTTAGTTAATGGGAAATGCTAGCGGGGCACCAGAAGATAGATAGGATGAGATACGATCGCCAAAGTGGAATTCCCTACTTAATTTCTAGGAGAGGACCTAACAAGTTAAAATGCTAGAGGTCGCTAAATTTGGTATGATATAGATGTTTACTGACCGGAGAGTCAGTCCGAAATACATATTGGCACACAAATTTTTGGTGTCAGCGACATTCAAACTCAGGAGTTTGAAGCCTCAAGTCTAGTAAGAAAACAACTACACCACAACTACTTTCGAATAATATCACAAATCGCTAGTACGTTTATTGACATGAATTGAAATAATTTTGATTTGTAAATTGAGTGAATTTAGGAGTAGTGTGTAGTAGTAGGTGGACAAGCAGCCTTTTTGCTACCTATTTATATGTCAGATCGACCTCCACGCGGTTGATACTAACTACTATTACTTGAACCGTCATGGTTAATTCCTAGTGAATTCAACATGATAGGCTAACTGACTTGACTTCAAGCTCATCCTATCATCCTCCACTGGTGCCCTACCAGCTGAAACCGTTAGCGCAGAAGGGTGCACCATACCATGACCATCTGACATTTCAGTTCCAAATGAAAACACACATGATAAGAAAAAAAAATACAACACACAACATTTAGAAGCATTTCCCAATCAAAACATACATGCTATAGGTTGCTAAATTCATGCATAAAATCCAGACAGTGTTATTTAAGCCTGGACAATTTACACAGCACCGTCAAGTGTCAAGGTAAGCAGAACTTGTGTTATGTGTACTAGACAACTGATTGAAATACATAGAAAACACCGATACGTGGTAGGAGGAATCGAACCCGCGACTATCGTAAGTAAAGCGTTGCTAAACCGCTAGACCAGCGAGGTTGTCAAATTCATGCCTACTCAGAAAGAAGAGGGGTAAGGAATTATATGCATGAACTTAGCAAACTATAATTTCCATACGGGCAAAATGCAAAACCCATGCTACGTAAAATAAAAAAAAAAACAATAAATTGTAATATCATTTAAGCTATCTCTCAATTCTATCCTAACAGAGATCATTTACGTGGGTATATGCGGATTAATTTGCATATTTCATTTCCCAATGCATAGCATACGCATAATGCCAATACTCGTTTGCATATGCATGATTCATGACTAAGCTAACAGCATACGTCACGATTATTATCCCAGGTAGGGTAGTCAGAGATATTTTCAACTATCAATATCATAGTAAACACAAAACTCATGGCTATATTTCTGTAGGTTGAATATATAAGTTATACATTGTTTAATGGAGTTACATCCACAGTAAGTCACGTCATAGACAATAAGAAGAGATATTCTCTAATTACTATGAGTTTCGCAAAAAAAAAATCCTACTATTATATCTGTTCTTTTGGTCGAAACCTATTTTTATAGAACTACAGATAAAATATTAATAGAAAACGTTTCTAAAGTTGTATATAAGTAAAGTTCAATTTACCTCGGTATCGTCAATGTCATCAGTGAGTCCATTGAAGGTAGCGTTTCTCGACCAACCATTCGAGTTGTTTGATATCGTTACATCTACACCTGAAATTAATGAAACACAAATATTATTATTCATGGGTCATTATGAAAATCAATATATCACAAGATTTTTATTTATTTATTTAACTTCAATGAACATAATACAAAATATAGTACACAACATTTGAAGGCGGCACATTTTACCAGAGATAGGCTGTAAAAAGTAGTCCCTCCGAATTTACTCGAGAAAAGCTATATAAGTATATACACATTATCATAATATACATCCTATATGACCCTCCGATCAATCCCCAGTCCAATTAAAACGTAGATCGAAATTACGACGACCAAAGGTTGGACTCCTAGCAGAGCCTTTAGACTAAAGTCGTATCCGTCAGGCAGCAATAGCAAGCGCTCCATAATCACTCGGTATTTCCACACGTGGAATCGAACCCGTGACCATCAGAAGAAGGCGGTGTGATAAACAGCTGGAACACCTAGAACCTCTAAATGAGATACTTACTGGAACCGTTGCACCCCGATGATCCCGATGAACCTGACGAGTTTGATGATACAGGCTTTACGGCAGTCTTTGTGTTTCTGAAACATATCAATGGATAAATAAAAAAAATGCCTCTTTAGATAATTTTACAACAGCGCCATCTAGTCGCAAGATAACCAGAGCTTACATTTGATTCACTATTTCATTACTTTATTGATTTATATTAATTTTTCAATTAGGATGTTAGAGATCACAAATATTCAGTGTGGAAACAATAGATTAAAGAATTTAAAGAATTTATTTAAACCAAAAACAAAGTTTTAACAATAACATGTTAAACGTAAACAACTACATTAGTTTATGAAAACTGTGTTATAGTTATTTGCGCCCATCTCCAGAGCATTGTAAGAATTATACCTTGTCTAATGGTGATAAAATTCCGACTATTATTGTGTCTACACCCATATTGTGATACGCATCTCCTAACCTAATGCCTAACATTGAATGCAGTTTGGATATAGCTCAGAAGCTGTGTTGACCACCAAACCACGGTCGTGTCGCGATTCGCGCGAACCTCATTTTAGTCGCAAAATTTATTTAAAAATAAAATGGCATGGAAACACTATTGAGGGTGTAATAATAAAATATATTGTGAAAACTACATAGAGAAAGCTTTAAAACTAATTGTCTAAAATGAATAGTTACGATTCAACAAATTGGTATCGTAACTGACTGACTGACTGACTGAATTTTAGACAAATGTTTTCCGTTTCATAAGTACTTCCGCGAGTTTGCAATGCCATCTGCATTCGCCCCCTATCGTTCGGTTAAAATGTAAAGGCCAGCTGCGGAAAAACAGCATTAGAGTAGTCAAAAAAAATGGGACGGTAATTAGAATTAAATAAGTTAATTGAACTTTCTTTGTCTTTTAAAAAACACATCACGGATCGTCAGAATGTAAAATAGAATAAAAAGATAAATATGTATACACATATATAAACATCTGTAAACAAATACGCGTTGCCATAGCAACCAGTAATTAAGTCAACACTATATACCTGAACTTTTTGTAAGTGATAATAATTGTAACCTCACAGTGTCTTGTTGGTCGCTCAAATAAATAAATAAATAAATAATAATAACTATACAATCACAATAATGGAGATTTTTGGGGGAGGTCTTTGTTCAGCTCTGGACGATTTCCGGGCTGAAATGATGATGATGATGATGATGAATGAAAATAAAAAAGAACTCACTTGGGCTCACTATTAGTGTTGGGCGGACGCGGCGGTACAAACGCGTCCACAACTACTTGCTCTGTGCCCTTTATTTCCGCCCTACAGAACGGACACCCTTGCCCCTCGGAATCCTGAAACATATTCACAATTTAAGTACTTTTTTTAAACAATAATAAAAAAAAATATTCATGTAATAGAAAAATTTTGCACAACATTAGCAGTATATTTTGTGTATCCACATTATTCCAAATCCATACAACATCGCCGTGGGCGTACCGCAGTCAATCGGAATAGCGTTATAGATATTGGTGTCTCACTCTCACCAGAGGGTTAAAATTTTATTTTTTGTCTTTGTTATTTTCAGAAGGTTCTTCCGTAAGAAAAAAAAAGAAAAAGTTGCTTGAAACATTAGAAATGTTAATTGCGAATTAAATATTCATATGTACATATATAACGTCCATAAGACAGGACGTCTGTCGGGTCAGCTAGTGACATAAAAAAAATTTGCCAATACGATAAGACTGCCTATTGTACTCTATAATTTCTATTTATATTCTTTATAATTTAGTTTTGGTGCAATAAAGATTAAATAAATTAATTTCTTACAATTTGCCACGCTGTGAGACACGGTGTACATAAAAGGTGACCACACGGCTCTATTCTTATGTCCTTATCATTCTCCGCGCATATCTTGCAGAGTTGAAACGTGCTACCTGTAATGTAATAAAAAAAACATTGTTAATAATAATAATTACCCAGGACAATCCACACAGTGCCATCTAGTCCCAAACTAAACAGAACTTGTGTTCCCCAATTGCTTGTGTATCACAGTTGTCTATTACCCATACTAGACAACTGATATATACACATAATATATTCTTTTGTGAATACATACATAATATACAGGAGTGGGGACGGGTTGTTAGTATATAATAGGGACTAGAACCTCATTGCTAGTAATATACCATGTCAGATCGACTTCCACGCGGTTACCATTGGATACCAAGTGATTTTATCAAGATGGGCTAACTAACTGACCTGCCCATGAGGTCAGGAACCGCAGTGGATGATTATATGATGAGAATAATCTCACCGTAAGATCCTCCGCCGTCAGCGTATAACGTTAGCTCAGACGGATGCACCATTCCTTTGTCGATCATCAAATAAATAATATATATTCAAATTCAAAATATCTTTATTCATGTAGGTCTATTACAGACTCTTATGATATGTCAAATCTACCGTCAGTTCGGAATGATTTCGAGATGAGAAGAACTGACAAGAAACTCAGCTCGTATTTTTTTTTTAAATCTTTCTTTTGCCTGGCCTTGGTTCCATTTATTTGGGGTCGGCCCTTCCTGTCAATCTTCGCCAGGACGTTCTGCCCTGGGTCGTCTGGGATGTTATTTTGGCGCTTTTTATATCCCTCTCAATAACGGACATCCATGTGAGACGGGGTCTGCCACGTCTTTTGGGCTGGGTACTTATGTCAAGCACTGTTCTTGTCATGTGGTCTGATGGTCGCCGCATGACATGACAGTACCACCTTAGACGGCTCTCTAAAATCTTCTCCTGTATGGAAGTCACCTTAAAACTACCTCGAACGTGGATGTTTTTGATGTGATCCAGCATTGTTATGCCACCAGCCTATCTTAGCATTCTCATTTCTGCGACATTGAGTTTCTGCTCTTGGTGCTTTTTCAGCGCCCAGCATTCAGAGCCGTACGTCATGGCCGCACGCACTGCCGCTTTATATACTCTGCCCTTGGTGCGAATGGGCATTCTTCTATCGCAGAGTACTCCAGAGAGCTCCCTCCATTTTATCCAACCGGTATTTATGTGGTGAGTTATATGTGCATCTATTGTCCCATCACTACATATAATCGAACCGAAGTATTTGAATCGGTCGGTTTCCTCGGTATTTTTTTTTAAATAAATGTACATATTTACAATAATAATAAATATTGTAATACGTCATAGAATATAGAATAGTATATGTTCTGTATTTTTTTGTTGTTTATTATTGTTCCGCTCACAGAAAATACAGTTGTATTTTCTGTGAGCGGAACAATAAAGAGTTTCATTCATTTATTCATAGACATCTAAATAAAACATAGATAAAATTATATACACACCCATTTCACAATACAGTTCGTATTGCTCTTGCGTGACTGTGATGTGGTCCTCAGCGGGCGATATGATCGCGCTGCTGAGGTCCGGGTTTGTATCCCGACCGTCAGGATACAAGTAGCTGAAACGATATCATATTTTATTCTAGTTGTTGGCCACAGACCTCTTTTTATAGCTATTTCTATTTTTAAACCATATATTTTTTATTATATTGTTTTGCTACATTGTGTCATATATTCTGCCACTAAAAACATCACTTCAAATTTAGTAAGTTATTTTATTTATTTTACCCTAATTCACTGCCGTTGCCAGCCGTGATACTAGTGGTCGCCCAATGTTCAAAATTAGACCTTAATTAATATAAATTTGAACATTATCAAGGTCAAATACTATAACTTGTTTGTGTGTGTGTCAAATAAATGGTAGTGTGTGTGATGTTTTATTTTATAATTTAGTGCGTTTTTATGCATAAAATAATAATATATATTAACATTTTGCACTAGTTCTTTAGATATACTATGAGTGTGTGAACTTTAATATTCCTTAGTGCCTAGCGGTTTCTATGCTAATTATCGCGTGCCTCTTACTTGTTACTGCGTAATTATTTACTTTAAATAATGGAAAAGAGTTTCATACACGAGTTTCTTGTTCATTCTTCTTGTAATGAGCCTGTGTTACAAATGAGTGGTACAATAAAAAATATGACTATTTCAAAAGTACTTGTATTGAGTTTATTTGAATAAAGATTATTTCTATTTTAGGCTGGCATCATCGCCCTAGTCGCGGTACGCAATTGAAGCCACTTGCGATATATTCGCTATATATCGCAAGTGGCTTCTTATTTAACCGTAACAAGCATAAAGTGCGGTTAATTAACAGTTAATAACGAAAAATGCATTTTTAACCGCATGGTTAAAATGACGTCACGTCTCTAATCATAGCTGACTACATTTTACGGTTTTTAAAAATTAACATATATTTAACAGTATTAATAAATTGTGTACTTATCTAAATATAGTAATAAATATGTATAACTTACAATCCCTCCCTGTAACCGTCGAGTAATGCTTGAACCAAACTCTTGTTTTGTGGTATTGTTTGCAGTATTTCACCATCTGCCGTCACGTATCCTATGGCCCACTGGCCAAGCCGTGTACACGACAATCTGACAAAAAAACAATAAATTAATTAAAATTAAAAACAAAATAAAAAATCAGAAATGGTAAGTCAAGAAAGACCAAAGTGAAGCTAGAATATGCCAATTCGACAAACTCGTTCGTTTATATGCAATACTTTCTATGGTTGCGGGTTCGATTTCTGGCAAGGCACAAACATTTGTATTCATGATTACGATTGTTTGTATACGTCTGGCTGTTTTCATAGAAAATATATTATGTACATTTTAAAAAATAAATGTATTCATATATTTCTATCAGTTGTATAGTACTCATAACACAAGCACTGAATAATTTGAGTGTAATGAAAATCCTATAGGATAAATATGCAAAAACTTTATTTATAAATATATATAAATAAAATTTCCAGATTCCTACGAAAAACGACGGAAATCAAATTTTACATCAGAATTGCAAATGATACAGCACTATGATTTGACGGTAGATTTGACATATCATAAGTCGTGTCATAGACCAACATAAATAAAGATATTTGATTTGTTTTAATATATATTTTTGGTTTAATATATATAGTATAAAAAAAATCTTACCTGAACACATAACTACCAGCCTTATGGATATACTTCTGGAGTCTCGCCTTCACCTCGTCGTACGTGAGGAACGCCACGTAACCAGGGTGTGTGACGGCGAGTAACTGCCAATTGCGGAGTAAGGTGCTCCATGGCTGAAATAACCTGAAATAGAACAGCATATCGTGATTATCAGAATACAATCAAGATTACTTATAACACTATTAACTACAACGTATTCCGAACACTTCCTTAGCATAAGCAGGTACTTTGTACTGTTTTAAATCCACTCCGATAAATTCTCCACTTAATTCAAAATTGCGATGGCCTGAGGTGAGGTTTGAAACCTAGCAGTGCCCTCAAAGTCGAATGCCACTAAAGTCGTATCTGTCAGGCGGAGGTTGGCCTTCAGCCGCTCCATAAGTCCTTCCGCGGGTTTGGAGTGTCATCTGTACTCACCCCATACGGTCCGGTGAAGCTGCAAATGCCAGCTGCGTCCAACATCATTTAAGTAGTCCAAAAAAAAAATACCTAACTGAATGAAAATATAATGTATTGCTTATATCACAGGCACAGAATCAATAAGGTCAATTTAAACATCCTGCAGTTTAACATAGAACAATCTTTTATCTGTTAAGTGATTGATATAATATGAGAATTTTATTGTACCATAATTTATTTGTTGTGTTGTGTTACCATAATATTTGTTTTTTTATATTATAACAAAGATAGAAGGAAACAGGGGGACAGGAAGACCAAGGCACAGCTACATCAAGCAAAAACTGGAGGCGTATCGTATCAAGGTTATACATTGTTACACACAGTTATACACACATAATAACACAATTTTATAAATCTTATGTTGTATTATGTATTGTCTATTCTTATGAACATGTGTGTGATTAGTAACAAACAAATAAACGATATATCTATCTATCTATCTAAAAGTGGCAAGAGCTCCACCGACAAGAGCGTGGCTCTTAAATTATGAATGAATGAATAATAAATCAATTTATTGTCAATATTCACGAGTATTTGTATTCGCCTGGGTGTTTACTATGTACGAGTATATTACGTATGTATTTACAAAAAAATCTAAGCTTTTTTTATAATATCAGTTGTCAAGTACCCATAACACAAACTCTGCTTAGCTTGGTACTAGATGTGTGTATCCAGGTGTGTGTCCAGGGTTATTATTATTATTATTAGGCGTCTATAAGGACTTAGCTTGTTTGCCATTACAGTTACAAAAAAAAGTGAAAATATACCAAATTAATATTAAAGTAATTTAATGAGACAATATTTAAATTAAGTATGTTTTGTTAATTTAAATGTTAATTATTCAAGAGCCATTTCGAGAAGTAATATAAAAGAAGTCATCATATAGTATGTATTATGTTTGTAGGGTTCTCTGTTATAAAAAAACAAGATTTTTTGCGAAATTTCATAGGTATATACATCTTTGGGCAATTCACACAGCGCCATCTAGTCCCAAGTTATTATAAGATATATTTTTTTAATACATACATTATACACATGAGTACAAATGTTTGTACCGTGCGAGGAATCGAACCCGCGGCCATCGGAGGTAAAGCGGTGTGCTAAACCACGCTAGATCACCGAGGCTGTCAATATATATATATATATATATTCTATATAGAATAATGTAGTTACGATGGTCATAGATTTTTTAAACAGATAGGTTTCATCACTATTATTAATTGACGGAATTATATATTTTATAGGCACGTCTCATACAGGATATGTGGATATGAAAGCTAGAGATAAGAAACAATGAATATAGGTATTCACCTTAAATATAAAATTCTCGTGTCACAGTTTTCGTTCCCATACTGCTCCGAAACGGCATGACCGATTCTCATGAAATTTTGTGAGCGTATTGAGTAGGTCTGAGAATCGGCCAACATCTATTTTTCATCCCCCTAAATGTTAGGGGTAGTCCACCCCTAATTTTTATTTTTATTTTAAGGCTAAACAACATTTGCCGGGACAGCTAGTTTAAAGTATATATTTACAAACAAGTTTAATTGTGACTGTCAGTTGCCTAATATCTACCTAATATAAAAGAGTATCAGTTTGAATCTAAAATGAACGTGGAGGGATGGAAATGGAGAGGAAGACAAAAAAAAGATGGATGGATTGTGTGAAAGATTATATGAATAAAAAAAGAATATACTCAGATATGACGGCCGATGGAATCAGTGGAAGCGGATGACATGCTGCACCGACCACAAATAATGGGATAAAGGCAAGGCAATGATGATGCCACTGCGTAGTTTTTGTAAGAATATGTAATAATAGTGTAATTAAATTAAACCCGTAGTGTTAATTTAATTAAATTCAAGTGGAGATAATTATCCATTGCCTAAAACTTTCAGCGCTATAGTAGTAATGCACATTGTAGGTGAACAGACGGGTGTACGTATCAGAACTGTAAGGAGTGCCTTGTTTTAATACAGACCCCTAATAATGAATAAGACAGTAATAAAACGTGTTAATCAAAACAAAATGTGAGAATAAAGAGGGAATTTCATTTTCATTTACATTAATTACCTCTGATATTTGTATATAACAGCTACTATATTACTATGTTATTATTGAGTAAATATACTAAACTCTGACTTAAAGACTACATTACAACATGTAACAGTTGGTATGTTCATTCATTCATAATTTAAAACCCCCCTTTTGTCGGTGGATCTTTTGCTATTTCCCACGATTTTCTAACAATCTCTTTAATTGTTGATACGACAAAACTACTAATTTTTCCTTAATTTGCTTCATATAGCTGTGATCTATTATAAGCTGATATTACAAATACAAAGATGAGTTTACTCCTTATGCTTAACTACTTCACCAAGTTTCATGAAATTTGGATCATCTGCTAAAATAGATCTCCTGTGGATGTATCTTTCTGTCTTAGGTATTTTATCGCCAGGAAGTATGCTTTGTAAGATGTGTGAGGTTCGGTTGACGGGTGAGATATGGCAGCGAAATTAGAGTGTACCCTGTAATCTCATGGAGAGATAACATCTTAGTCACGTAACTATTTATTTATGTCATTTTTGCTATTCGACAGTTTATATATAGGCAAAATCTTATAAATGTAATGTTGAATAACATTTATATAAAAGAGCAACTCTTAAATTTGTCACTCATTTTTATCGTGATGAATCTGCGTTACGAACGAGTGATAGAATCAATAAAATATTACTATACAAAAGTGCTTATTGTAAATGTATTTGAATAAAATATATTTCCATTCCTAGCCTTCCGGAATGGCAAATTCTGATAAATACCACATGCATCACGAGATCACGTGATGTCCATAATCCTGTTAATGCAATTGCCACTTATGATTAAATGGACTTACAGATTGTTTAATATTTTAGTTAATATTTTTTTGTGTCATGGTCTGCAAAAGGTATCAGTAAATACTTAGGTCTAAGAAAAGAGAAGAGAAGTTATAATAAGGGGAAACTAAGAGACCAACTGACCTGGTGAACACATCAAATTCGAAGTTGGAGATGAAATCGTTGCACGTTAAGTCTATTGTTGTCTTGAGCGCCATCGTCTCCAGCCCCGAGGATATTGGGTGCACGTTGTTCAACTCTTCACGGAAGATTTTCCACGACACCAGTGTGCTGGAATGTAATAAATTATAATTTATTAATTAAATTATTCTAGATTCATCTTAATCCTAATAATATTATACATGCGAAAATTTGTAAGTATAGATGTTTGTTACTCTTTCACGCAAAAACCGTAGAACGCATTTTGATGAAACTTTACAATAAATATAGGTTATGCATCAGAATAATACGTAGGCTCTATTTTTTATTGAAATTTAACAGGCGAAACAGGTTGCACAGCTAGTCTATAATATTTAGCTTACGACTTATAAGATTGTCTTATTATGAAGAATCAACCATTACTGCTGACAAGCTGCACCCCTCAGCACTAGCAGGGTGAAATACAGTTTGTTACTTGTTGACAATCCTGTCAGCGACTAACATTAATTTTTACCTACTAAATTTATATTTACCTACTGTCCTGCCTGCTTTCACCCGCATTAAATTTATAGTAAATGCATTATTTAGATGTATAGATATTATATATTGTTGTAAAATTTCATCAAAATCCGTTCGGTAGTTTACAAAACATCCATCGGATGGATGATGAATGGTTGTTTTGTAATATCACATATTCCATACTCACAAACTTTCGCATTTGTAATATTAAGATTTTCTTGTATTTATTTATTCAAGTAACAATGACTCTCATTTTATTATAGCAACATTAAAACTAGATTATTTCAGAAAATACCTTGAAACAAAGACTTAAACATGAAGTTAAAAAATAGAATTAAACACATTTTCTTTAAACACAAGTAAGTAATTATTTATACTTGTGATGTCATATGGTACAGAATGGTGATACAGAATCCATAATTAAAGAAGGTGGGTAGGGTGGATAAGACAGACGAGGTTATACTTGTGGCGACCATGTCATTTTTTTTTACATTTGTTTAAAGTGCTTTTTACAGAAAAATCCATCAGAATGGTGATATATCAACATTACGAGAACTAAGAATATTATGACAAAGAACAGTAATTAATAGAAATTGTATTAACGTATTGTTAGGTATGATACTAGGTATTTATTATCAGGTTTGGTGTGATATAGGTAGATTATAATAAAAGTAAATAAATTGCAGGCATAAATAGTACGTAGAACAGCATAAATTAATAAGAATCAGGAACAATTACAACAATTAATCATATTAATACGTAATTACAATGTTTTAGTAATGGCGACCATTAAGGTACGTACATTTTTTCTCGACATTTTTAATAGCATAGAGAACAAACGAGCTTGCGGCTCACTAGTGATTACCACACCAGGGGAATTTGTGTTAAAGTATGCTTTTTTCTTGACAGAAAAATGATACCACAATGTGTTTATGCGTGGCAAAAAGTTTCTGTAAAAACGCACGGTGGAGGACCGCCATTCGTCCAGATGAGCTGGTATTTTACTGTCTGTTGTCGGTGGCTCCATTGCTACCGACAATACACCGTCAGGTTGATCTCCACGTGGTTCCCCCTGAAAACCATCGTGAAAAATTCATGGTAAATTTACCACAATGGGCTAACCTGACCTCATGCTCATCTTATCCTCCACTGGAGCCCCGCCAGCGTAAACCGTTAGCACAGGCGGGTATTCTATTACCATCCATAAGAAAATACATTACTAAGCATTACGCAATAGTAGAAATAGTATATAAAAGGCAAGACAAACTACATACAATAACATAGACGCTATACATATTAACTTGACCGTTATTGATACAGTTTTGGTATACATTCGCTGAATTTAATCATTAAACGATAAATAATGCTTAACATGAACCGCCTAATTTATACAGATCTCTCTTATATTGTTAACTAGCTGATCCCGCGACTTCGTACCCTTACGTCGTGGTATTTATGTATATCTATCTTTCAGTTAGAAATAACAATATTTTATGTCATTTGTGTATGTAAACTGGTTGGAATAAAACAAACATTGAATTCTTAAGTGGGTTTTAAGCTTACGACAATACATTAGTGAAAACAGCATTGAAATCAGTTAAGCCACTTCAACTCTACGACAAACAGACAAGAATTCTTATAATCGTTGTTTTGTGTTCTATTACATTGCCCCGGTGGTCTAGCGGTTTAGTACACCGGTTTATTTTTGTTCGTCGTAGGTCCGATTCCTCGCACAGTACAAACATTTGTATAAGTATTTATTGTTTGTATTGGACTTGGATTGTTCTCTATTACGTATCCATTAATAAAACGAATGTATTCAAATATTAGTTATCTAGTATTCATAACAAAAGCTCTGCTTCTCTTGGGACTAGATGGCGCTGGATGGTTGTGGTGTGATGAAATGTGGTGTGATTTGTCTTCCGTTATTATCCTATGTACTTTCTAGTATTGTCCCATTGTAGGGGTTATGGACGTATATTTGCGAGTGAAAATCACCAAAGATGAACAAACAAAATTGAGTATGATTCTTTTTAAATGGAAGTAAAAAATTCTCTGACAATTTTACAGGCGTTTAGTATTACAGCTATTATTATTATAAAAAGTCCCATAATATTAGTCTTTCTCATATATATCACATGTGCAGATAGTAAACAGATACATTTTTATTATATAGTATGGATATCGAAGCATTTACAAAATGGAAGTTCGATAATTATTTTTCAATTAATTGAACAAGATATTCAGGCGATGCCATGAAATGGTAATGGCTTTTGTCCCCCGTTTGCAATTAGCTGAATTAATTTCCGATATTGAAGGGATCGGCTGTCGCTGACAGGGCGTTTTGTGTCTCTTTCGCAGGTACCAGCTTTAACCATGTATAGAAAGGGACAGACTTCAATATTGAACACACTGGGGATGAGTAAACGAATAAACAAAACAATCAACGTGTACTTTTCTTGTGCATGTATGTTCGCCAATTTTCGATTGAATTCGAGAATTAATTTTAAAAATTACAGTGTTTTTTATGCTATTATTAATATTACTTGAAAGTTATCTTTCTTTTAACTAATATACGTAATGTATTTCAAGATATTTTTTTGTTATAAATTCTAATAAAAAAAATAAATTCGATACTTAAAAAATATATTTACATTCATTCAAATTAATAAATTGAAATTCTAATTCAACATTACTTATTCATGTAGTACATTTTATTCACTTCTGCTCAAAGCTCTTTGTAAATATTTATTCTCTACTCTCATCTAATAAAGTTAGTAAGTAACTTCAGTAGATGACGGTAGAGAATACATATAATGTATACCTATGCATTATTAAATTACATTTTCTTTATCAAGCACTTCTCACATAGAGCTATTCATACCATGGGAAGGTTTCTCTATAGTGCTGATTTCAGTGAGTCACGTAGGTATAGAAAAGCAGCCACATTATAAATTCACACAACACGTTGCGCGCCATTAGATCGATAGTGGGATGGTAAGACCACAGTGCAGGTGACATGCAGTAGTCCAACTCCATACACAATAATAATTATTTGTCTTATTGTATTTGACTTACGATCCAAGTGGTACAACACTTGTGCCAAAATTAAAAATAATGCAGGACATTTTATTCACTTATGAACGCCATTAGTGTCGTTATTGTTTGTATTAATTTATAAATTACAAGTAAAACAATAATAAACTCTTTGTACAGCAAATACAATTCACAAAACCTCTGTAAAATTGGCGTTTTCTAAAATATATTTAAGTAAATTTAGTCAAATATAAAGGATTTTTGAGTACAATAGAAAAATAACAAAAGTACAGACGACGGTGTCATAAGGGTTTGCGAATAGTCAAACAATTTGGCTATGAAAACTCCACAGGTAAGAGAGAGAGACAGTTAGCAAGTTTGTATAACTTGCAATCTCTCTTATCTACGCCGAGAATATTCCTACTAAAATTTATCTTTTCAGTTTCAATTCAAAAAGTTGAGATTATTGGTTCGTTCTAGTTCGATAAGTAGCAGATATGTATTTATTTCGTTAGGATACTGTTATTTACATAAGCTGTCGTAAGATGTTGCGTAAGAAATGTGGATCGCATTCGAATGCACGTATATATAGGCTAGGGTTTGTAAGGCTTGTTTATGGTAAACATAGTAAACACCGCATTACTGATAGGTACGTGTTCGAAATGTAAATTAGATTTGTAATGTATACCTTTTATAGTAATGTATGTATATACTAAATACATATTATAAGACAATCCACACAGCGCCATTTAGTTCCAAATTAGTCAGAGCTTCTACTGAAGTTTAAATACATACATATAGAAAACAAGTGCGTAAATCGAACCCACGTCCATCAAAAGTGAAGCGTATAAATAGTCATTTTTCATTTTCTCCTTTTTAAACCATTCAAAGTCTACGTTTTATTTACAGCCTTGTGCAGGTGAACAGCCTGTAGAGTAGACTATTTACCTGCACGAGGTCGCCACTTGAGATTTTTTCCGTGTATAGTACTTTTTTTACGTACACATTTATAGATGATGACAACCATCGCCTTTATATATAAACAGCATCACGAACATCACGTTATCATGTGATATTATGTTCACCAATTCTAAGTTGCCATTCCAGAGAACTAAGATGACATTATTGTCATGTCTGTCTTGTGAATCACCATTACCATCAGTTTCTCATTCCAATTACAAAAATAAATACGGTTTTCATTACAATTAAATTTCACTCTTAATAATTTCTACTTCTTAGTATGTCAAAAACATCTCTAATTCCGTATTATTTCAAGGAGCACATTAGTATGCTAGAAACGTGTAGACAACGCAGACCCGAAAGAAATTCGATTAAGTTATCGATTTAGTAGCATGTGACCTTCTTAAACGTTTAATAAGAGGTCTTTTGAGTATTAAAAGATCCTATATTTAAGTTGATTTCTAAACAGAGAAGGTTGTTTGATTCTCTGTATTATATTTTTTGATTAGAACTCATCACTTATTACATGCATTACACGATATCTATTACTATAAATAATAAGTTATCTGTCTTCACGAGCCACATCATTCTAACAATAATTTATTTTGTGTACGGTT